GTTTTCCTAATCCAGAACCTATATTTCAGTATCCGGGGTAAGTTTGAACTTATTTTGTATATTTTTTGACTATAATTAAAATCAATTGATCTATTGATACTCCAAAAAATTGATTTAGTGAACAGTACTGTGCGATCATTGTTAATTCTACATAATATATTTTTTCAATTTATTTTTATCTATATATCAACTGTAACATGGTACTGAGAGTTTTAATGAATCTTTAGGCTGATTAGAATTTCACCATGTAAACAAATCAAAATATTTTATATAACATCATCATAGTAGAAATTTGCTATTACAGATGTCATATCCAGATTTTCATTTTCCTATGCTATAGGTAGCAAACTGTATATTTCATTTGTAAAATGACAAGATCTAGATTAATCTTGATAATGTTCATATCAAGGACGCTGATATTTTATTTTTATCTGAATGCTTATGGAGTATTTGATGTAACTATAAAGAAATTGCTATATTGGCATTTATAGAGATTTGTCTCCGATTCATTCAATGTAAGAACGAATTTTATTTTTTATCTTCAATTTTGGAATCCTAAAAAGATAATTTATTTATAGGATACTCATTTATCTGAATTTAGAATTTAATTATTTATTTCGTTTAAAAATCTCCATTAGCGTATCCCCATTATTTTACAACGTATAGGCCCATCTCCGTGGTTTAGTCAATCTATGTTATTTTATCAATCTACATTTATCGACGAATCCCCATTATTTTGTCAACGTATCCACGTTATTTTATCCACTCATCTTCATTACTTTGTCGACGTATTAATTTGTCGACGTTTCCCATTATTTGGTCAACGTATCTTTGTTTTTTTATATCAAAAGTATCCCCATTTTTATGTCAAAATATTCCGTTATTTAGAGAACATAAATTGTTTCCGTTATTTTGTAAACGCATCCCCATTACATTAGTTTGTCAACGTTATCCTGTATTTTTTTTTCTTGTCAACGTTTCCTCATTATATATAAGTATACAAATCCACGTATCTCATTCAAATATTTAAAAGTTGTGTGAAATGAAATTTACCAATATCTTAAAATAAAATGATATCAAATGTAACAATATTTCACAATATCAAGACTATCTTGAAATTTGATACAATTGTACATTGTAAACGTAGTAACAAATTGAGAATTTTGTATTAACTTAATATTTTCATTTCAATTCCACAATATGTATGCAAAGCGATAAAACGTAATACATCACCTGAATTCATTAAGTCAATTATTCACATATACAGTGCCATTATGCGGTTATATCGCACAAAAAAGTGTGGGATTTTTTTCTCGATTCGCGGTCGTTTGCATTTTATATAATCTCAAGATGTCTTATGAAACAAATTTAATTCTTCAAAGAAAACTAAAAAAAATATTAACGGTAAAATATAGCGGGAAAATTAGCGTTAAACGAGGCAATTAAAAGAAGTTATTGTCTCAAGATAAGACCTCACTTATTGTTATTATAACACTAAGAGAATTATTAATGATAACTTTCAAATTGGACAAAACTGATGTGTGTTTTAGGAAGAACGAAAACTCTTAAAGGATAAAATAGGTAGATGTATCAATATTTAATATCAGATCGTTTTAAACATGGCGCTGTCTTTTGCTTGTAGCCGCTTGTATAATCACCTGTTACAAATTCAGAAACTTTTCAACTCGATTTCACGACTATTTCTTTATTCCTTTTGCCCGGTCGAGTGAATTATATTTTTTCTAATTTAGGTACAATACAATTTACTGAGGTACAATTTGGTCCGTTTTGTATACAAATTTTTTTTGTTTAGAAAATTTCATTTTGATTGCCAATCCATCATGTATTTAGCTTTGAAATAGAAACAATGTTTTTTAAAATTAGTCATGAAATTCTGTATTCTTTTATTCTACGAGAATTAAAAGTTTTTCCTGATTAGTGACGTCATAAATACTTCGATGTTTCAAATGCGTTTAAGGACCTGTTTGGTTTTTTTTGGAAAGCTTAAGCATCCATGAACATCTTTGATATTATTATGAAATATCATTGAAAATTTTGAAATTAATACTACCATCTCACATAAAACATTTGCATTACAGATCAAATGCACCATTCTGTAATATGATCAAGTGGAAATTTCATAGTCCAGCTGCAAGACATAATACAGTTTTTATATTGGAGCGAAAATGTGTATATTTCATTGCAATCATTCATTATTCATTTACTTCGAGATTTGAAATTGAATATATTATTCAATGTTAATAACGTATCGACGCCCGTATTTATTTTCATCTCATTTGAAACAATATTTTATAAATGATTTCAGTTTCCTCTCTAAAGAAAAATACAGAATAAATGGAATTTCATATCGTTCACAAATCCACTTAGTCGGATATCAAAAATTCTTTAGAACTTACCCTGAAATTTAATACGCACTTCTTCTAAAAATGAAACTTTAAAGGCGCTTTCATTTTGAAGCATTTTACCTAATAATTTATTGATAATCGGGTTTTTATTTTTAACTTCTCGCTGATAAAGAGAATATGAAATAAGATAGAATTAAAGGGATAATTAAGGGTTTGTATAAAATATATTTCTATGGAGCTGGCCCAAGAATATATTTGGTAAAATATGATAAATTGTACTTAATTACACTAGCAAAATACTGAATCAACAATGAGAACAATTTTTGATTATTCAGTTGAGATACCAATGCCAAGGTATATGCATACTGGATCGGGATTATGCGCCAAAATTATATTTGGTATACAGATCTGTCAATTTTTGTTAATATTGTACAATCATTCATTTCTTGAACATCAATTTCTATCCTGGGTGTAAACTTCTTTTCATAAAAATATTTGCCTTATAACTGTTTGGAAAAATATTTACATTAAATTCATCACCAGCATTTAGATCAATATAGTTATTTCAAAATATGCATTTTTTATTTCTTTATAATTTTCATAATTAGATAGTTTCTCGTTATCCTCCAGACTGAGAACTCAAATCGTAAAAGCTGTTTTGATATTGACTATTGAGCTTAATAAAGCAAAGATAGGCCTAAAAATATAAAAATACAAAATTTTCTTAAGTTTTCTTTTCTCAACAAATTTGTTGAAATCATACACAAATATCTATAACAGTAAATTTAAGAGCTTGGTTATAGCTGAGAGGCAATTTGCTCCTGTTGAGATTTCGCCACGCGTATTTATACCTTAATAGACATAATAATGAATAGCGTGTAACGGATAATAAATAATTCATTATTATTATTGAAAATTGTTGTAGGCTATACAACCTCATACTAACTTTATTTCCCTCTACCGGCTTTTACCTTGAAGAAAAATAAAAATAAAAGATTTTATTGTTCATTTGCTGTTAAGTGGTATTTAATAATTTACATAGCATTATCAAAAATGGCGCGCTCATAAAGTAGTGCTTGTAAAACGATCTGTACGTTGCCGGTAGTTTGAATAATTAATCGAATGAAGAGTAAACGTTTGATCATTTGTCACCACGAGCTACTAACTAGCCGAGTTGTGTTCTCTTTTATAGCGAATTAATACACTGAAAGAATACCCGGCTATTTACGCATCACTACTTCCTCAGAAAGAAATTGTTACGCCTGTCTAAACAAATGCCTAGTGATGAATGAATGTAATAATGTTACATAGCTACTAATTGAATTTGATTAAATTATATATAGCTGATTCATATGCCTACTTTATATTTACATTATGATCTTCTAAGAGAGTTCGGCTCTGCGACTGACAGTTTTTGAGAACAACTGAATTGTGATAAGTTGATTGTAATAAGAAGTCAATTTGTGTATGTTATGTACCTGAACGTTTTGCATTGACCTTAATGTAATAAATGGCAACATTATTATTTTAATGTGAAATGTATAAATTAAGTTCTCTTTGTAACATCTATTTTTTTTTTTAATCAAATACATGTACCTGTACCTCAACATGTTTTATAGTCCCTTTCTAATGATTTTGACATTGCCCCTTTCAGATTTTTGCCGCCAAGAAATGAAGTCGCACCAGAAATATTTCCATGTTTACCAAATATACGACCACCATCATTGGCACCACGTTTCATACCCGAAATAGCAAATCGTCTGCTGTTTTGTCCTCCTGCACCATTACAACATGTCTTCTGCTTCTCTCAACAAGATTTAGATTTTGTTCTCTATGGTAAATCTTCTGGCAATGTCAAGGCACAGTCTACTACACACCCAATACATGCTTTAACTGGACTCAAAATTACAGATGTAGGTCATGGTAAGTGAAGTTCTGGGAATAGCGACACAATAATGATTAAGGCCGTAGAGTAATTAAAACAAATATGCCTAACTTTTGAAACGACAATTGTGTATTGTAAATCTATTACCCCCTTTTTTCCCCTCTTTTTAGCTTGGACTGCAACAGCTTTGTGGCTTTAAATTGATTTCCATTGGAAAGCAATGATTTCAGTTAGAATTTATGGATTCATATCCTCTGATAGCTATTTTGGCAGTTTTTGGCTGGTGTAGTAGTATACTGCGACAATCACAGTTTTTGCTCTTTCCACCATTTCAGGAGTAGATAAGATACTCACACCAACATTAGATAATGGTATCAACCTTTCTAATTGGAGAAATTGTCGTTCATCTAATCCACCATTACATGATCTTCCATCAGGTAGGCTAAAGTTCCCCTGGATTCGTGTCGTTATTAGTATGTTATATCATGATATTGTAAATCTATATTCCAATAAGGTGCAGAACAGAATGATGTTAACTAACAGCCTCCTGTAAATTAGGATTCGGTTGTCGGTTATCCGAACCCACTAACAAAGCAAGCATTGCACTCTGGAAACTTGAATCATGGCTTCATAAAAATTGTACCAGAGCAGCCTTGAGATGCCTAGGTGTTTTGGAATTTAGATTTCCAACCTTTGCACTTTGGTGTTCTCTCAATATTTTCATATGAGAGTGTCGCTAATTATTTTCAGGTTTAAACATCATACAAACAAACCTTGGTGGAATTTTACATTTCGGCGTGTTTTCCAAGAAATCTGTGATCACCAAAGGTACAAGATATGGTCCATTTAAAGGAAAAGTCGTCAATACCAGCGAAATTAAAACCTTTGATGACAATACTCATATGTGGGAGGTGAGTCCATTTTGGTGACGTCATCACAGGCACCACAATCCTTGAAGTTGCTTCTAGTCGTTCGCCAATTTTTGTGTTTCGTTTCGGTTTTTATTCCGATCTGACATTGTTTTAAGGATTCGGTTTACAAATTGCGGAATGTGTAAAAGCATGAAATGTAATAATCATTCAAATGGTAGAAGCAACTTGAGGGGCGTCTTGAAGTCAGTTAATGGTAGAAAAAACGTGTCCAACGAACATGATTTTGCAACCATGAGTGGAAGTTGGAGATATCATTTTAGACCGCAGTTGACTTTAACTACACCGAATATGATTTCTTTTGTATTTAACGAATTCTCAATTTCAGATATTTAAAGAAGGTAAATTAAGCCATTTTATTGATGGACGAGGTACAAACGGAAGTTGGATGTCGTATTTAAACTGTGCTCGCCATATTGCTGAACAGAATATGGTCGTTTTACAAGAAGGTGATGAAGTGTATTACTACGCTACACGTGATATCAGCCCAGGAACCGAACTACTTGTGTGGTATGGTCAGGACTATATGCATTTTATGGGCATTCCTTTAACATTACCCAATAAAGATTCTGTGGAGAAAGTCGCTGCACCAGCAGAAAGTAAGTTCACTTACGGAATTTATATTGCGTAAATCACATTCAATTGCAAGCCGGGCATACATTTTATACCATTTTATACCTTCCAAAACTTAAAATGGACCTCCGAATGCAATTTTATGCTATGAAAGAAAGATGTAACGTTCCACTTTCAAATTGGCCAGAAGTCCTCCCTGATGATCTATTGAAATTGGTTTAAAACATGGGCTTCATCTTGATGAGAGAGCTCGTGTGTTGTCTACCATAAAACTTACTAATAAAACTTTACGTTAATTTTAAGCCACTATTGAAGCTGATCTGGAAATCTGTGCGATAAAACAGACTCAAACAAATCCCTTCATTTCTTTCTAACGTTCACAGTACAATACGGATCTATCCAATCAGGTCCGTCGAGACTCGTAATGATGGCGGGCCTATCAGGAGACCCAATTAAAATCCTTCTATCTTATTACAGTCGAATCAGTAATAGTTTATCGCCTGTTTCTGTCTTCATCTATTTCATTTTATGGGTTGGTTATGACTTTTTGTGACCTGTTAAACTAAACCGTTATGCACGTCACGATCTGACGTCAGTTTATGCTGATCTTGTTTCTGTGCTATTATCATTTAGTGTTAATCCTACACGAGCCGAACTGATTGCTCTAGAGAGGTTGAAAGGTGGAGAATCACACGATTTGATATGATTGCTCGTCTCTAGAGAGCCATACCATGAGATTTAAGATTCTATAGGACGGTTGGTTTAGGTAATAAAATACAAGTAAACACTGAATCTGTCTTCAATTCGATCCTCATTTGTATTGTATTTGTATTGTATTTGTATTATTTCAAATTTAAACACTTGATTATTGACCATGCAGTGAAGGACATTTTGGCAGAACAGCAGCATTAGCACACTCTTTTTTTGATTTCCGACTGTCGACGAATCTATAAGGAGTCGGTAGCGCACGGTGCCTCAGAAAATTACGTTTTAATTTTATTTTTTTTTAAATATATATATTTGTTTTTATCTTGTTAAGTTTTCTAGAATAAGGCCCTAGATCAAAAGGACGTAACACTCCATTTCATATATTACAGATAGTGAAGGCTACCAATGTGAACGATGTGGTAAAGTATTTGCCTATCAATATTATAGAGACAAACATTTGAAATATACTAAATGTGTAGATCAAGGCGACAGGAAGTTCCCCTGCCATTTATGTTCAAGGTAATATTTAATTCCTGTACATCTACCATTTCATTGTATAAATAAGTGATGATCAAGGGTATGGGGTCGATACTCTTTTAAGCTAAACGTACAGAGATCTGATGGAGAGAAAAGGTTTCCTAGCCTTCTATAGACCCCATTTTTGGTTTTAAGGCCAACGTCTGTGGTTCGTTATTTTGAAAGAAACATCAAAGCGGAAATTCGGGAGCCACGTTATAGCCAAAGCTATAAATGTCGCTGATACACACCAGAAAACATTTGAATAACTAAAGATGCCAACTGACTGACTGCCTTATGTCGACCATAAGATCTATCTTCGCCGAAGCCATTGTGAAAAGATCTCGGATCGCATTTGTCCTAAATCAATCACCGGAGAAAGTCATTTAATACATCTAAATTTTCTTCAGATCGTTCGAGAAAAGAGACAGACTCCGAATCCATGTTTTACACGTTCACGAGCGACATCGACCACATAAATGTGCTGTTTGTGCTAAAAGTTTCAGTCAGTCATCTAGTCTGAATAAACATATGAGAGTAAGTATGATATAGGTGTTGGTAAAGACATTTGAGAGGCTGAATTTGACCCCCCAAATTTTTTTTACACATGTATAAGAGTTATGAAGCTGGTATATGCTGTGTTAAGATGTATAGTGTTTTGTATGGAACCTTCCCCGAAATCCAGTATTTGTATTTACAAATTAACGTATATATTGTGTATTTTGAAGTTATTAGGAAGAACTGTTTTTATATTTTTCGTGTAATTATTTCCAGGTACATAGTGGTGAAAGACCTTATAAATGTGTGTATTGTAGTAAATCATTTACTGCCTCGAGTATCTTGAGAACACATATCAGACAACATTCTGGGGAGAGGCCATTTAAAGTGAGTATATGAGGGTCACCATTGACCAATTTTATGCTTTGTCATTCTAACATCTTGGAATAGCACAATTACTATTGAGAAAGCAACAATTGATTATTGTTGAAAATACATTGAAGACTGGGCCTGATGAGTTTCCAGAAATCATTTACCAGAAACGACGAAGCCCGGCCACAAAATGTGCTCAGACAAATGTTTTGGTTTGCAATTGTGGTGGTTTGTTTTGCGGATATTACTGGTAGAATTTTCGAAACTATGACAACGAAATATATTAGGAAACTTGTGAAAACGTTGCTGCTTCTGAAAGATGCTACGGATGAACTCCTCGCCTGTATTGCTATTGCATCAATCCTATATTATATTTTCAATAATCCATGTTATTTCATCTTCATTTCAGTGTAAATTTTGTGGTAAGGCGTTTGCTTCTCACGCAGCTCATGATAGTCATGTACGAAGAACCCATTCACGTGACAAGGGGCACACGTGTACATTGTGTAATCAAGAATTCGTGTGTCAGATAGATCTAAAAATTCATCAGAGAACGCACAGTAGTACTGGTAAGTTTTTACAACGTTTCAACAATTTACACTGTTCCTTGAAAGAATATTTAGGTGTTGGGAACACATACAAAAATGCATATATGTAGAGGATAAAACACAGGGTTTTTATGATATATAAAATCCCGCATCTCGAGGGATTCTCCGAGGAAAAGGGTTTTAAATATTAGAAAAACCCGAGGGAAAGAGTTTAATCTGACGTTTTAAATCGGGATGGACTCAAAATCAACGAATAATAATGAAATAAGGGACGCCACTCGTGCCTTCAAGACTATAGTAGGTCAGTTCTTCAACCAGTGAGCTAGACTTACTTCTGTTTTGACAATGTCTTTGTTGGTTACACATCACAGATAGTAGTTACTAATGGAAAGTAACCACCTTTTACAATGTGGGTTTGATTAGTAGTAAGTATTCTTATTATAGTTTTATTGGTACAAAGGCTCTTAGGAATTATTAAGTAGGATAATGTTAACCATGGCGGCCTTCCTTTTTAGATTCAACACCTGTACCACAATGGAGAGGACTTAACATACAACCCAGTACCATTCCACAAACTTAGAATATTCCACAATATCTAAGCCAGGATGCCAGCTTTGCTGTAAGATACTTACGATGCTTGTCGGATATAATATTCCACATTCCGACAGTAAAACGCCTAGCACTGGCCGATAAACAGGAAACTACAAAAGTACCAAGCACAATGTGCTAGACGCAGTTGTACATTAGCAACTAAGTATGCTGAAATCCATGCCAGTGCTTCTATAATATCTCTTATAAAACCTTATACTACCTTTACCGAGCGTTTCTGTACTATTCTGACAATCCTTTGTTCATTCTGATTATTCCAAATATGATTGCTATGATAGCAATGTACAATAGTTGTTATATATATTTATTGTTTATAGTGGGCCCATGGAGGTCATTATTTGTTATACCATCATGTTTCATGAATTTCACATTTCAACTGAAGGATCCATTTGTTTATGTTTTGTGATTGTAATACATAAAAATCATCAAATAAATCTACAAAATATAAATTTTGTTTTGTGATTTCTGAATATACGTATAATTAAACGTACAACATTTATTTATTTATTTATTTATTTATTTATTTATTTATTTATTTGTTTGTTTGTTTGTTTGTTTGTTTGTTTTTCTTTCTTTCTTTCTTTCTTTCTTTTGTTTTGTTTTGTTTTTAATCATGTTTTTTAATTTAATTTAATTTAATTTAATTTAATTTAATTTAATTTAATTTAATTTAATTTAATTTAATTTAATTTAATTTAATTTTATTTAATTTTATTTAATTTTATTTAATTTAATTATATGTTGTTTATTTTTGGTTTTTGGGTTTTTTTTTGTATCATTTGTTGATTTGTTTCCTTATATACAGTAAAAACTGTATTAAGAGACCACGCAGGGGAAAATTCAAAAACGGTCTCTTACTGGAGGTGGTCTCTTATGAGAGAATTGTATTGACAAAAGTTTCTCTTTTTAATTTTCAATTTTGTTTAAAATAAAATCTATTTCTTCATCGTATTTAACGTACGTCAATTGTTTATTTCAAATCCTAATCCCAAGTCTACAAGAGACATTTTACGTGTGATTTTGTAAATAAAAATAAAATTGCTATAAAATGTCATTATCTATTAAAGAAGAATAAATATAATAATAATGTAAATAAAAACTATAGAATAAAATCACAGGGAAAACTAATAATCAGATGTTAATAAAATAGAGTTATAAAATCACCTAGGGCGTTTAAACTAACAGTTATCATCTGACAGTGTCCATATGGTCCACATACTGTCTTCCAATAATAATAGACGCTCGTCAGGCGAATTGAATTAATTATTAGAAATAAACTAGATACTCCCTCGGGGTCGGGCTCGAATCTTCACTTCCTATACACTGTTCATTTAGACATCGTTGAAATATTGTTGTAGTTTATTGCCGTGTCAAAGCATAAATTATCAGATGTTCATTTCTTGGTGACTGATTGTTGCATTGGGGATAAAAAAATTCAGCAAACAAAAATACAGCACATATTGAGACTTTTGTCGAGAATGTATATACACAATGTCTGGTTTTCAGGAATGAAGAATTAAAGAATGAAATATTTACTTTGGAAATCCAACGACTTACAAACTCATCAACACATTAAAATATTTTATTTGTAAAAAAACATTTAGATATGATATAAAATGGACTCCTACTGAAGACCTTACATATAAGGAATAATGGATAACAATATATGAGTATATGTATTACCTGAAATGACAATATATATTTCACGAAACATCATAAATAATTCCCATAATAAATCATAAAAATGTAGTTTTTACTCGGCATCTAAGTGTCTTGTCGCATTTTCTCAGAAACATACATTTCAAAAAGTCTGTCCTCTGGGACAATTATAAATTTGTATTTACACCAAATTAAAACTTAAGCAAATGTCTTTTTTCCCAAAATAAACATTTCAAAAATTCTATCTTCTGAGTCAATTATATTCACACTAAATTAAAACTTAGGCAATTTCAAAATTTCTAAAAGCAAAATGACTCGCAAGACTAAATTGATGAATGAAAAGGGTGCTTTATAAAACAACACATCATTTAACTGGGATTTCTGTTGGGAATGGGAAAGCCTGATGGTGCAGCAGTTGTAGTCATAGTTTCTGCCATATTTTCAAAATTTCTACCAAATATTTGTAATAAATAAGTGTTCATAAACATGTCGTCAGGATCGACATTGGCCAGTGTCCTCATCCGTGTGAAATGGTGTATATTGTCTCCATATACATTTTGTATTATCTGTATAATGCCTGGTATATTATCATGACGTTTAGCCCAGTGTGGTCTGACACTCTCATTTCTAAACCTCTCCACAAACTGTAAAATACATATTGACATTATACAAAAACCATGTTTTAACGATCAGAACCGCAAAATGAAACCGAAATCCAAAAACAACATATTGGCGAAACATTGGTAGTATAGAATGTATACTATGAGAGACACCAACTAGATTAGTCGGGACTCATGGACTTCAGTAGATTGGGGCCCTTTCCCCGGGAATTTTACTTAACATAATATGCTCTCCTACATTTTTTGTGGGATGACCTTACGGTGGTCCGTGGACTTGGTTCAGCCAGACCCTTTGGTAGTTGAGTTACAGAGGGACACAACCATACGAGAACTAAACTTTATGGAACCATGGAAGTGAAATATTCTTTAAATACTGATTCGTCGATCACTTAAAACCCCTGTCACCCGTCCTATAGTTGTCCAGTTTCATATTCTAAAAACCCCTGTCATTGGATTAAAACTTGAATAAATTATACCTATATAAATGTAATAACACATGAAAGTGCATAAAATGATTTTGTAGTGCAGTTCCAAATGCCTAACCTCTACAAAAACTACAACTGACCTTTCTAGCAGCAGGATAGAAACCATACTGAGCTGGTGGTGCCAAGAAATCTATGACCAATGTTCGACCAGAATCATCAGGCATCTTTATCTCATGATTTCCCGGACACAGGTCACATTCATAATTCTTAAAAAATCGGGGTAATAAGGCATTCAATGGAGTCGATCCGTTTCTTTTGATTTGACCTTCAGCATATTCTATTATGAACTGGAAAAGGAATACAAATTTTTAAATATATGTATATTCACGAGCGCCATCCTGCGTTATATTGCAAATACATAACGTATACATATACTTATATCAAATACCAAATTCTTCAGTCATGTAAGCTCATTGTTATAGTCGACCTTGTTATAAATGGAACAGATAATCAAGGATAGATCAATGCCAAGAGGTTTGGTCAAGGACCAGTTGGTAGAAAGAATTATTGTGTGCTTTAGATGTTATCTTTGTAAAATATAGTTCTTTCTTTCTTCCTTTCGTTCAATAACCCATTTACAATATCTCTTTCTTCTATATATGTACCTTAAGAGAAGTCGTTTGCGATGTATATTGTGATAGTTGAAAGGCAAACCAAAAAGCATGGTTGTAAATGTTCTTACGGGGCCTTCTTGTGAGTTACAAATCATGAATACAGTGATTTTAAAGGGGCAGGCTTCAAACTATTAGATAGATTATTGTCATAAGGCACATCAACTAAAATTATAAACGGTCCGATAAACTATTGAGATGTAAGGACGAATGAAACACAGCATGAACAAACCTGTAAGCCAGTAGCTGGTCGTATAAACTGGTTATCGATGTTGAGCATAAATGCAGCACTAGTTTCACTACCACGTCTTGGTGGTAATATGACCGGGAAAGCATCTACCAGATAATGATAAGTCACTTGTTCTAAGCTCTTGGCTACATCTAAAGCTGCCTAGAAAATGATTAAGATAACTTCAGTATTGACTCATATTATAATCATACCATTAATATATGTTGTAAATCATGCCTTCCCAAGTTCAAGATCACCAGACAACTGGCAACCTTGTCGAAACACCGCTATCACTACATGTCCGTTCATTTTTTCCCAATAATGAGACAATCAGGTGGCAATGGTTCTTACTGAAATCTGTATATCAGAGAATTGTGTTCTGCATTCAAAACATTGATATTATGCAACAATTTGGCATGATGCCACATTTCAATTAGAAAACAATGTCTTATTCTCAGTCTAGCACAGTCGGCAGCACTAGCAGCTTGAATTGTCGTCTACTTGGCGATTGGATAACGTGAGTTCGGAGCCTCCTCAACGCAAGAAGCATGCTGATGCCATCTTTACCCCCTACTACAATGTTACTATGTGGTGTCATTACCTTTCCTCGTAATAATCCTTCGACACTGCCACCAGATAAAGAACCATTGGTAGGTAAATATGTAGCAGGTTTGATTTCATTGTTACCAACCTCTGTATCATTAACAATGTTAATTGTTCTGAAACAAATATCATAAGATAAGACTGCTTTGGTTCATGGACATGAATTTGTCAATTATTTTTTCGCATACAATATTCCGCAACATTGGGTTAAGACTGATCACAGGATAATCTGTATATGGTACTAGTATCAATTGCCATGACAGCGTGAAATGTTGCATAGAACTCTCATGGTGGACCGGTGGCTGGTGGAAGGATTCTCATAAATTCGCATTGGCTAAAGCGTTAAAATACAATGTTGAATTTTTTTAAACAGTCCTACCTGAGCCAAATCTGATCTCTCTTTGCATTCCAGGCTGCTGGGATAGTCCCAGTGGCTTGATAATCTGTAGCTTCTTCCGGTGTGACTGAATTAAATGGAAACCATGAGATCTCTGTCAAGAAGTTGGAGGTGACTGTTTCACGCAGTTTATTTTGGTCGTAAATCAGATCTTCTAGCTTAACAAACTCATTTTTGACTTTAGCTTTTACAATAGGAAGAACCTATAATCATATATTTGAAACATTTAGTGACTTTGTGAAGTCTATTTTCAATAGGAATTCGTCGAACCGAAGAAATACTCAGGTTCACTATCCAAAGTCAAGAAAATGAAGTCTTGAACCACTTACTTCGTCACTTTACCCACTTGAAAATGAAAATATAAATGAAATAAGTGAATGCGAGAGCGAGATTGGGATTACTCATTTTTTTTAGGTATTTGCGAATTCGGCAACTGAATCTGTCTTTCAGGCATATAATTCTAATAACATAGCTAATATGATGTTTTTAAATTTTTTCATTACCTCAATCGTGATATCATACATGATACCGAACATTCCCAGATTACAGATAGCAGCTTTCATGATATCCGGGTGATTTTCATAGTTGAACTTCCTCAGTCTACCAGCACCGTCCATTAATCTAATATCTCTAACTATTCCACTGTATGTCGGTGCATCCCATGTTGAACCCTGTGAAAAAGGAAAAGATTCCCCCTTAGTTAATGCGTTATGGCAAACTATTCATTTATCCCAATTTGAGAACCAACCCAATGCTAGATTCAAGTTTCACGATCGTATGTGTAGATTATACAAAACCTAGCCAAAGCAATTTTGAACTAGTACTGCTCTGAGTTTCTTGTACATTGTGCGGATGTGTGTCGATGTTGTCTTGAATAAAGGGAGACAACTTTACTCATGATTAAATTAGTGTGATGTTCTTATCGATGGGAAGTCGTATAGGTCATAATTCAAATTGCAGTTACTTTTCATCGGGGGCACCCTTAGAATCAATTTGCACCATTCCAATTTTTGGTCAGACGTCTGTGTTTCTTGTATTCCACTCTAACTAAGCGTTTCACGACGTCATTATCGGAAAAGCAGTACCAGAAAAGCTTACGTGAGTTGAAGCGGCAACCATTCCACCCAGTGATTCGACATCATTTAAAGGTTGAGCTAATATTGTAACTTTGTTGCTAACCATGAATGCATTCAATTCCTTCTCAATAACTCCTGTTACTGCGGTTACCGTGGTATAATTTCTTATCTGGTTCTAAAAGGAGAGAGAGAAACATTGGCAACTGTGGCGTTTCTGTGAACCACTGAAATTGGTGACAAAGTAGAGACCACAGAATGTGTTTCTTCCATAGCATCTCCTTACTTAATACTATGATGGTCGCATCTACTAGGTTGCAAGAAAAATAAGCAGCTTTTAGTTCTTATTGTACAGGACAACAGGATCTAATTTCCTATCCATAGTACAGCTATCCCGTTATTTGCTATTACGGTCTTTTTAGTCCTATAGAGTACTTATATACCAGAATCGGTAGTTTGTATATTCTTCTATAAACTTGTAAACTTACAGGCTGATTAAGTTGCAGTCTTGGTCCATCGTGTCTATTTAAGTCTCGAACATCCATCATTATGTTACCTTCATCCACGTACAGTGGTGATCTAGAATGACCAACTGCGGTAGCCCGAACCCTCATTTTTAACTGTTTAGCTGCTCGTAGAACCTTTCTAACCTGCATGGTGAGAAACAAACACATATTAACAGCAATATATACTCTCTAAAAGGGAAGCCGGGTTAAGAATCCTGATCTTAAAGTGGAATCAGGAAGCCGATTGGCAATACTAGAACGTGAGGCGTATATTAGGGTCATTCCCAGACATGCATAAATATGATCGTTCTATATCGCCAGACATTTTATTCAAGTTTTGCTCTTTCGTTCCATATCAAAACCCCAGGAGGGAACACAAACAATGTCCATGTCCCCAATAGAAACGCAACTGGTAACAATCCTGTAATTTCACATGTATAAGATTAGGTGATGTCGTACCTGCCAGATATCAGTAGGTCTTGTATAAAATAGATTATCAATAATAATAGTTCTATCCCAGTTAATATAATGTATAATATCTACTCGGGGATATTTCCCTATATACATCCTCAGTAACATTAATAAGGATCTCATCCTACCATATACCTCTGAAAGTAAAAGGAACAATGGTTTGAATAACTTCTGATAAGACTGAGACTTTAGCCTACTCTTTTTCTATTTCGAACTGGCAAGGGATGCTTTAAGTACAAGGCATGTAGCACACGAGTCATCGGATTATTGTTCCATTCGAATAACAAGACGCTTTTTCCATGTCAGCTCCTCGGAGTTGAATCAGTGGCCATGGGAAACAGTTTAAAAAAGGTAATATATCCACTTATGTCAGATTTAAAATGCTGGACCTCCAGGTAGCGGACAGGCGTCTAATGTATTAAGATTAAACCACCGTGGCTACCAACAACGAAAAAAATGTTTGACGAATTAAAATAAGACCACAATTAATGCGTCATTGAAAATGGCTGTGATAAATATTGAGGTAATGGTAAAGAAACGGGCAATGTCTTACTTACCATTGCTTCTCTGATATTCATCTGCATTTCGGGCATGTCTTCTATGTAGTGGACCCATGATTTCACTAAGAGGAGTTGGTGGACGGAAAATATTCCTTTTGGCTACGAAAAATAACGACAAATGGAGTGAAATTCGTATGATTGCAAAAATCGTCCTTTTCGGAGCGATCAATCAAACAAGTGTTTCAATAACCAATTTCTGGTTCGTTAGTTTTTTAGTTGGTGTTCTATCAGACCAGACTTGAATATTCGATGGGGCAAATAATATATCTGGAAGGGCAATGGGGTATATGGTCTAGCTGCAGTGGCGGAGCCAGGTTTACGCCCGTCCGAATACCTCACCTAGGTATGAAATTTTTGCTCGAAAAACTTGCTTTCGGGGCTGGAAGGGGGGGGGGGGTTGCTGCCCCTTCTGCATCGCCCCCCCCCCCTCTCTTTGGCTCCGCCACTGTCTAGCTCCAGTAATGGTATGGGTTGGTTGTCAGAAGTTTTCAATGGGGCAATACAGTTTTTAGGGAGGGGGAGTAGTTAGTATTTTTGTGCTCTTTATAACCTTTTGAATGCAACAATAAATTATGATACAAACCTCGATAATTCTGAACTGGTTCATCATCAAGCTGAACAAAACTATCTTCTAAATCTGAAATATGTATACAACGATGTCCACATATAATCTATGTTAACATATTTAACACATATGGCTTGCTACTCTTGCTAGTTGGACAATGACAACCACTATTTGAAACTATTTGCAAAATTATTTGAAAAAGAGTGATGATTTCCTTATTGTAAACTTTTGTATCATTAGCAGTAGCATTCAACGATCAAAGCCCAGGGAGTTTCTCAATTTATCTCTTGAACTCGAGTCAGCTTCTAAAAGCAAAAGACTCTAGCCTACAAGAAAGATAAAGATTATTGATAAATTGTGTCTAGAGATTTAAAAACAACCCAGCGCCAGTCTATACTTTAGCTTGCTTGTGCACTGTTTAAGGACAGATAAGAGTAGGTAAATTTAGGATAGCATGTTTATAAAGCTATACTCGTTATATGATTGTTAGTGTATTACTGAAAAGCCTACTGTAAGAGGGTCACTGTGAACTTCTATAATCTCCTGTTTAGATTATAGCATAATTGAACTAATTATATTTATTTAAGGTTCAAAGTTCGCATTCTTTCATCGCAGGGGCCTACATTATCGTTCATGAATATTATAGACGTCAAAGCAAGTCTTTTTGTCGATTGTATTAAAGAGTCTCTGGCTAATGAAGTATTTTAAGAGAGATGGAGCCCATCATTGTAGCATAACACAGTGGTTCAACTACAATAGAGCTTGGTTGAAATAGCCTTAACTGCAGACTGAACATTTTGAAATCCTCAAATATCAGGCATAACATTGATTAAAAGTGCTCTTTCAGAATGCATGAGAGCAAAATGGGGAGGGGCCCCAACCCAGTTAGGTCCACGGGCCCCTACGTGGTGGGTTGTGGGTTCTGCCAGATCAGAGCTCTAAACCCAAAAACCATGCCAATTCCCCGACCAGTGCTTTAGCTCAGCTAGATCTCTCTCATTATAATTTTAAAGCCTTTGAACTTTGACAAAGACAGTTACGAGTCACTGGCTTGTGAAAGTAGCCTATTTGTGTCGCTCTTTGGTGATCCGCGGTAAAGTAATTTGAAATGACCTTGACCGTGATTAAAATAAATATACAGTAATATACGGGGCAGTGAGTACTTGTTACGTCTTCAATTTCACTTGTATAGCTGTATTCATTAGATATCAAACTAGTGTACTATTGGGACATTAGACGTGGTTTGTTTGAAGTGTATATTCGCTGCTATTTTCTAGGATATTGAAGTATAATCGTGTAAAAACAAACGCCTATATTCTGTACTACGGACCACAACTAATTTCCACAGGGCTACTATAAATAGCCACTATCTTACGCTGCACCTTCGATGATGTTTACTCATAATACCGGACATAAGTGAAATTATTATTAAGAAATATCGTAGATCGGTTTTGATTCTATAAATAAACCATTTCACAGTATAGGAAAGAGTAAAACAACAAGCTTTTTGTAAACTAAAGGTAAGCAATTTCACATTTTTTATCATAACCTACTTTAAAAGAGTGTTTTAGTAGTTTAAAAATCCTTTTGTTACTATGACAAAATATATAGCCTTCACTTTGACCTTGACCAATTCTTACGAGTCGATCAATTGAGTGTTTTGTGAGCGTCACATATTGATTAAGATTTAGGATTCACTATTACATGTATAGGACATTGAACATGGACAACCTGTCTCATATATACTAGGATAGGATCAAATATGAAATATATTGTCTCTGAGGAATTATAAATCGATTTTAGTTTCATTGAAGACAATGTTCTATCTGTCCTGGCTATATTAGTTATATGTATATTTGTAGGCCTATATTATTATTATAGTCAATTAGTGACTTCTGAGACAAATTGTTATCTAATTCTATTATTTTACAAAAATGTAAAATGACTTTCTACAAATGAACTATATATAATGTATATTGCATCGTATGCACGGTAGAGCATCCCAAAGAACATTTCCGAAAGGGTACTAATACAGTGAGGTTTCTATCAATCAATATGTTCAATTAATTGTCACAGAATTTTCAAATGATACCCCGCCCCCTAGGTAGAAACGCCACGGCATTTCATTAATCTAACAAAATACTCAGCGCCAACCATCGTCATATCAATCGATATAAACATTAAATGTTAATAAATTTTTAATTTATGATTCTTAAGTCCATCAGAGCTGTATTATAAGCATATTATATATGGAAATGAATAATGATAATATCGAAGAAGAACAACCAACTCCAGAAACCGTGTCAAGGTAAAATTTTTATGATACATTTCATATTTTTATCTAGTTTTGCCTCGGGGCGTGACATTTTGTCAATCATTCTATTGGCGAGTGAAACGATTGCTTACTGTGGGGTGTAATTTTATAAGCCTATGTTCATATAATAAATATTCGTCATTGAGGTGATAAACAATTGTATGTAATGTCCATTTTATGCAGATGATGCATTTAAAGGGACAGATGCGCCATTTCAGGGGTTGATTTAATATATGTAAAAAGTCTTTCCCTTTAATATAATAATGATGGTGAACCGCTATTTCAGTGAGAAAGAAATGAAAAGTTCTTACTGTTTCTAGAATTATCATGCACCAGTCTAGTTGGCTTACTGAAGACTGAAGTGAAAGTCAACACCAATAGTATACAAGAAAACATCATCCTTGCAGTACCTTCATTGAAAATATAATATCAATATATACATGCGATTTAAATATTAACAGCATAGAATAAAGAGTGGGGAAATAACAATGGCCTTTTCAGGATCCGTGAAATGAAAATGATGATGATTATAAGAAAGGCCTAAAGTCTTCTAAATATGTTGCTATAAATTTTGACAAAACTGAATCAGGAACACGGTATGCGTATCTCAGAATAAAAATCGGGAGTATGGTTTGTCTGCATCTCCAAAAAAAAAAAAAAAAACAAAACAAAACACCGACGGTCGATATCAGAATGTTGATAAATCTCTAAAATTATTTTAATTTATGAATAAAGCGAAATATAAGAAGAAAATACAAACATTACCTGTGCAACACTCTCTCTGCTAGTTATCGAATTTCAAATGGTGGTATTGTGGTGTCAGAAATATGATTTTAAACAATCATTAAGGACTTCTTACATGAACCGGATCTTGATGTCCACGAGACATTATAGACACGAGTTGGTGTCTCGGATACAAAATACGCAATTTCTAAATTTCGATAAATATGTGGACTGTGTTAAGCAGAAAATTGTTTACTTTTTATAGAGTAATTTGCAGGCACTTAAAAAAATTGTTTATACCATGATTGCTCCAAGGCCTTAGATTGTGTATAGATTTCATTAGTTATTTTTTTGATACTTTGAAAATTAAGTGCAATGTAATATCTCGAAAGGTTGAAGTAAATCTTGATTTTTAATTCCTTGTTAAACATTTTGGCAATTTTAAGTTTATTGTTACATATTTGGTCCATTGACACCAGCTGCTGTTTAAAACTGAATAACATCAACAAAGTTTAAGGTTGGATATTTAAATACTTAAGGCAAAATGGCCGTCGATTGTTACAGAGATGTTTTCTACTATAGAATAGAAAGCGGATTTTGATTATCAGTCACGTGTAACAGTGAACAACAGTAGGATGTACATGTAGCGAGAATTCCGGGTGTATATTTATGGCAACGTGTTTCCTGAGTTGTATTCATATAGGCCTATTTAATATTTCTTTTACGTCAGTAGAGAAATTTGAAAATCCTTCATCACCTATCCATTCAATCGGGGAAATGTGTTGCAATAGGCCTGTTCTGTTATGGCATGAAGTTGTAAAGTAGGTCGAGTAACTAGGTCTAGAGACAATCAAGACAATGTTTGTTGTTGCTCCATGCGTATTAGTCAATTCAACGACTAAAAAGTGGAACGGAGACATTCTTCAGACTGATAAGCCGATTTGTACCAGGCGAAAAGAAAAGTGGACGATTTGGTCTGTGTCTGGACGATCTTGTTATTATATTTACAGTTATCTCCCTTGAGTCATGTTTACCTTGGTTGCTAAAAAAATGTTGCGAAATAAGACTATAAATTCAGATCTAGATAATATTCTATTCTATTGTGTTTAAAATAAATATCATGTGACTAAATTTTCCACTTAGATATTATTGGTTAATCTCTTTGTAATATTAATCAATGGCTAACAAGTTATATTATATCAATATTATCGATATTTTTTTACCTCACAGTCGTGTACCAAATCATCATCGGGCAGGTAATTGAAATTGATAAAGGTTACTTCATTTAATTAACCATAGGCAATTGTTTCTATATAATTGTAACCAGATCTGTAGGCAGACCTTCCAAATATCTTAATTACACAAAATATCTACTCACTATTAATAGAAACAATTGCCTGTCTGTAAACTTATATAAACACCTGCAGTTTCATTGATTTTGTTTGAAGCCCTTTGTCAGTTGTGTTGTGAATTGCACACAGTGATGCTCCTGCCTGATCGAATAGGAGAGATAGATAGATACAGCATCTTGATACATCATTACCTAACATAAACTAGAAATAATTCAACAGAATAAAGCATTACTAGGCTAGTTTTTGAAACAACTGGCTTTCAGACATGTTTTAGTTGTGTATGAATCTAAAAATGAATATTAAAACTTGAAACATGTCGTATGTTGTTACTGTTTTCTTTAGAACTGACGTATTTCAGCTTGCGTCTCTACTGAAAGTTGGACAAGTAAAATATATTTTCATGTTTACTCTTCAAACATTAAACGTTTAATTAAAGACGTGTGCTTAGGGGCTTTTTATTGTCGTAAAATTTATTATATATAAATATGGTAAAGCCAAATTATAGCCTATAATATGATGTTTTATTTTTTATATTTTTGTTGACAGATTAGTTAACCAGTTTCAAGATATGGGAAGTACTCCCAGTACACCACGAAACACTTCTCCTTCCAGGGCCAGTGTAGATACACAGGATACAATGCAGTCGTCATCTCAAACTACTACCTCCTCTAAACCACCACCACCACCTAATTCACAGAACAGTCAGGGAGCTAAAGATTTGATGATCAGCTATAGTCATGCTGACTCAGAATTCATGAAAAAATTAAGAGGTTAGAATTTGGGTTTTTTCATACAGTAGTAAAGTTTTATGCTGTATTTCAGGAGAAAAAGTACTTGTTGACATCTAAGAATGATTTTGAAACAAGCTTGAGCAGGCCAGTAAATTTCTGGTTGTTAAAGTTGTGTTTCAGATGTGCATACATAAATATTTTAACTGGACTATACCTAGTTTTGTTTATGAATTGAATCATCACAATCTTGATAAATTGAGAACAAAGTTTTTCATCTGAAAAGTGCAAGTGAGCACCAAAATATTCTTTCAGTAAATTCTACAATGAGAGAAGACCTGTTGTCCTGTAGTTCATTCTTTGTCTGCTTAACCTTTTGGAAGTTATAATATTCAGGAATTTACATTTTTTGTATTTTGATTATTGATTGATTGTTGTTAACTTATAGAGAAATTAGAAGCCAGTGGGATATCAGTATGGGTAGATGTATCAGGGCTACAAGCTGGAGTGGATTTTCTTAATAAAATAGGACAAGCTATTATTGATGCCAAAGTAAGTGAATCATTGTCATAACCTTATTTTGAATTCAGAACTTGGATGGATCCAACCATTGATCAGGGAGAAAAAAAAGAGCAAAATGTACTATAGAGTTAATGATTTAAAGAAATTTTTAAGAGAGTTTTTTTTTTCGGCTTTTTGAACCTAATAATGAATTTCTACAGCAAAATGTGATTTAGCACCTACATGTTATTATCTTATAGGAATATATATTTTTTTTCAGTTATTTATTTCCATATTAAGTTCATCATCTATTAACTCTAAATATTGTAAAGATGAACTAGCTCTAGCTTATATATCCAGTTCAGCTATATTTCCTATTACTTTAGAACCTAGAAAGAATTTTTACCATTTAATGGATACTGGCATGTAAGTTTTTTTTATCTAATTCACTTTTGGTTAATGCCATTAATCTAGGTCTGACACAAGGCATTTAAAAACACCCTTAATTTTACAAATGAGCTGAACCTACCATAAAAGATTGTTTCATAACATAGAAAAGTAAGCAGGTGTGAGAGAGTTCAATAGAAATACAAGGGGTGTTCAATAGAGGACTGGAACAATATACACGGTGCCAGACTGTCAGTGGAAGATGTTGGAAGAACATATCAGGCTGCTGATTGCATTAGACTTTGTCCTATCTCTTATTCAGACCCTCAATTAAATTTATGCAAATCATCAACAATGAATGTGTAGAGAGTAAGCTCAGTGTGGCTATAGTTTGTAATTGTATGTTTTAAGGAAGTTACAACTAGCTAGCTATAAATGGGTAGATTTTCATGAAGAAGATAAAATAGAAGAAAGTTTTAAAGAGCTGATTGATATGTTACATACTGAATTACATCAGAGACAAGAGGAAGAGGAGAAGGAGAAAAACCAACAAGAAAGGGGTAAGAAAATGTCAAATCATCAATATATATACCTTAGTACAAGAATAACATATGGAAATGTGTTTTATCAGAACTACGAGGAAAACAGCATACAAATATTTTACTCTGATGTGTGTCCCTATTGGAGTAAACCCTGCAAAGAGCTCATCTCCTGTTGTAGACCATGTTCAGATAGTAAATCCCCATCAGGAAAGCTGGTCTGGAACTCTCCAATTTAAGGCACTTGTGCAAAGCAAGTGTTCTGTAATAGATTTTTTATAAATGCCCTTACTCAACTTTCTTGCATTGCTGTTTTATCTCCACTAAAGTATATTATTTTTAGTAATTGAATCATGACATCTTAAGTTTAATTTATGAATAATTTCAGACTATGAGAAAAAGAGGAAACGTTTTCAACGTGCAAACTCTAGAGCCAATATATACAGAAAGTCTATGAGTAATACAATTGAAGATGAAAAAGAAATACTGCCATCACAGTTCTGGCAAGACAGATTTACTGGACAGAAAATAGAGTGGTCAAAGTAAGGTTTTGTCCTGAATGTGTTGTTTATTTCTTTCAGAACTAGTCCACTGATGGGAAATATGACAATTTCTTTTTCAATATACCAGTAGCATTTAAATCAAAAAAATCAGTCAATAGAAATACACAAAACTCAGGCAATCAGTGATTTCATTGGTCTTGTAACGAGTATCCAAGGACTAGAATGGAAGCGGGTGTGCAGACTTGATAACAGTATAGCTGATAATAATGTTTTGGTATTCTTATTCTTGAACAGGTTTGTAGATGCTGTAGTAAAGGCCTTCCAGTCGAATATGGACTATGTGTTCTCTAGTAGTGAAGATCAGAAATGGTTGATGGGTGTTTTACATCGTGAAATGGAGGTTGATTCTGATGATTTTTTACATTATGACAAATTTGAAGGTAATTTAAAAAAACAGAACACTGAACATTGGTCACCCTTCACAGATGTGATTTACCAGAAAATATCTTTCTGGAATCCAAAATCTCCAGTTTCGAAACCCATGTTACTGGTTTTAGATTTTGGGTCACAAATGGAATTTGTTAATGATCAGCATAGAAGTATTCTGTTTGTTTGTAATAAGCTTGAGAATTTAAAACTTTGTAGAATTCTGTACAGTTGATCAATTCTATTCAATTTTTGTAGGATTTTGTACAGTAGATGATGAAATACAATCAGTATGGAAAAGAATAGAAGATCAAGCTAGAGAAAATTATGCTATGAAAGAAGTCTTTGATATGGATTCGTCTGTCAGAGTGGAAGCAATTGAAAATCTTGGTAGGTTTACATATTTATGTTCTGAGTATGTAGTTCAGCATTTCATTTCCAAATTTTGATGGAATATCAGGAACCACAGAGGTTGGACAGCAAAATAGAAGTTAGCCCTAAACACTTTGAATCAATTTGTATCTTTCCAATTTTCAGTTCCACTAAATCTTAGCATTTTATGACGTCTGTATTGCGAAGGTCCGTAGCATTAACATCATTTATGCTGAAGCATTTCAATACTTACAGGAACCACAGCAACTGACAAAAATTGGAATGATGCAAATGGCTCTGATACACACAAAATAAGCTAAAAATAAACTCCTTTCCCCCTATTTAACCTGTTATTGGTATTTTTCAGCAAAATTCCGAAGTGCTGCTGTTATAGAAGCTTTACGTGATTTATTATCAGACGCTGATGCTAATGTAAGGGCGGTAGCAGCTATATCACTAGCTAGAACAGAAGCTAATGATACACAAACTGTCAACAGATTACTACGAATATTAATTGATAAAGATAGATTAGTGAGAGAAGCAGGATGTCTAGCTCTAGGTCATCTTCATTCTAAACAAGCTGTTTCCAAATTATTACATATGTGGTATGTATGATTAATTTATATTCTTAATAAGCAGAGTATATTATTGCATTGGGCTGGAACTTTTACACCTATATCTTCTCCCCATAGGAGTTGCCTTCATATATTCCTTTCCGTTTTTTACTGTGAATAATAATTGTTCAACGGCTGTATTCACTCATCAACAGTTCCAGTATGAAGTTTGTCCATCTTGTTTGTAACATCTCTATATTGATAGTTTCAAATAGAAATTTCTTTGACTTCAGCTAAGATATACTGTATGTTTATTATTGTTATAATATAGGAGAAATGATGTAATATCTCATGTACGAGAAGCAGCTGCTGTAGCTTTACAACAGATAGGTGGTGAAGAAGTAGAACAAGCTATGCATGTGACCAAAGTATTAGCAGATGAAATTAGGCAGTTGACTGAAGACTCTTAAAATAAAATAGTGATCTTTCTTCAATGTAACTATTATGATAGTATTAGCTGATAAAATTCGGCAGTTAAAGAAGGATTCCTAGAGTAGTATTAGTGATCTTTCTTCAAAGTAACTATGATGATAGCCGCTGAAATTTGCAGTTGACTGAAGAATCTTAAAATCCTTACCTAAGTTACCTCTGTTTCTGATTTTAAAAATTGTGACAAAAGTTTTGACGTATATTATATATTGGCCATTTATATATTAAAGAGGATCTGATTCAATAACTTTATCAAAGGAGTACAATTCTGTTATTTGATATGACTTTAGATGAAGTAAGTATCATTACATTTGAAAGTAGTAGTTTATATATAGTGCAGTGATAAAAGTGCATTTCTGAAGGAATATTTTTTGATTTATGTTAACTGTGAATTTTAGAAAGTTTACTTGAAACTTTTCAACATTAACTTAAACCAAATGTCAAATAGACTCTAAATTTGTTTATTGATGTAATGAAAAGGGGAAATTTAATCAACTTGCTCTCTTGAACTTTATGCTGTTTGCCAAATTAAATGCCAAGATTTTTTTCCCCATGACATTTGATATGAAGAAACATTGTTATTTATTGCAAGATTAGTGTTCTAATATATATATTTTTTCCAATCAAAATGAGCAAACAATGTGCAGGTCCTATAAAACCCATTCTCCATCACTGTAACATTATAATTCTATCATAAATTAAGATGCTCAAATCAGATATTTACATGACTAATTGTATTTATATTTTGATATTTTGTTTATTTAATGACTATATTAATCTATGTTGTATAAAATTATTTTATTTGTTGTGTTAAAGTGATATAGTCTAGATAATATTTACCTTACCAGCTGATAATGCTGAAATTTAACTTAATTAAGTCCCAAATCAGATTCTCCTACAACTATAATAAGACACTGTGGAAGTTTAGACTGGGTTACTTCCAAATTGTTCTTAACAGTTTCACCAGCAGCAACTTAATGATAGCCTGAATTTCAAACATGTGCCTTCCATTATAATCTAATGTAATGTTTGTGATTGTGGTTGTAAATAATTGTACACCTAGATCTAAGATTTCTAACTGTGAAAATTGTAGAAACTCTTTACATTCAAAAGACCAGGATTTAAATTGGCAGAAACTGGTCAAATAGATTGTCTATATCCTAAGGATAGATTTGAATATCATAAATTACGTAGAAGAGCTGATAGGTTTGTTTTGAAACAGGGTACCCTCATTTTATACCTAGGGTACTCTACTTACCATGTTATAGAAGTTATATTACATTATAAGGTAGAGAAAGCTGCCAACAAACACAGTTGAGATTTAATCTGTAATGTTTGATTTAGCATTTTCTCCTATAACACACTAGAGACTAATCAGGTTAGGAATATCTCTGAATCTGTAGAAATATCTTTGTCTATATTTATTTTATATATTTTGTATCCTTGATATTTATAATAATTTATACAAAATATATAATAGTACAAGCATGACAGATTTTGTATACATGTATTTTGTCTACAAACAGGTATACACAATTTCTATAAAAACTTGTATAGATTTTGTTTTGTTATTTAAATTGTTCTGTTATATATATGTAGAATAAACTTTCTGTAGAATATTTTTTCTTTATTCAAAAATGTAATATCTTAAAAATCAGATTGACACACCTTATTATCATTGTTTAATAAAACAGTATAATATATTTTGAGTTAAGTTTAATATTTTTATATTTCCACAATAACACATTGCCCAATCTCAGTTTTTTTTAGAAATGTGGGTTGGTTGAGGCAAGGAAATCTTCAGAACCACAAAAGATCTCCTTGACCTGGAAACTTAGTCTCTCAATTCAAATATATAGGTCTCAGAGTGCTAATTTCTGATATTACACTTTATATCATAACTGATATTTCACTTTAAGGTTAGCTCTTCTTCCACAAATCACAGTTTCTAAACCCATTAACAATAACAATTCTTTTTTCAGACAGAATTAATGTAAATCAGGTTAAACAACCCAATTTCTTGTCACTTTCCAGACCACAGCAAGTTGATAATATCACTTCTTGTATCTCTTTCATTTCATCTGCAAAAGAAGATGACATTAAAATTCAAATGAGCCATCTGAACACACATTAAAAAGGAATATCATCATCTTGAAACTAAATAAACAATCTGAATGTGTTCTAATTTCATTCATACAGTAACAAGTCACATAGCAGACTCATTTCAAACCCATAATACAATACAAAGCTTATAAATACATATAAATAAGAACAAAGTGATCAAGCCTACCTAAATTAGAACATTTCAACATGAGAGCTGGTAGCTGTTTACGATAATATTGAAGTAAAAATTTCTGACAAGCTTTGATAGTTCCTGAAAATATGGTGGAGAAACATTAAAAATTTGGCATCATCAAAAGTTCTTGCTCTTAAGCCAAGAGTGAATCACACAAATGTTAAATCATTTCAAAGTTAATGGTATTTCTGCATGTTATTTAGCTAACAAAGATCGGTTTCCCCATGATTTCCCCACTGGTAATTGTCTACCAAATGTCCAGGAAATTATAGTCTATTTTACATCAAAGTCATTCCAAAGAGCCATTGATGCATCACTTTAGAACATTTAACTTCTTGAGTTTCATCTTACCTCCTATATGAAGAGTTCTACAGACAACATCAAATGTTTTGATTTTCTTGAGGAACATTGTGACTGCTGTTTGTAGAAGTTTATGTGCACCTCTTCTAGCTTTTACTAATATAACATCTTGATGGTTGCTCATATACTTTACTACAATAGAACAACAGAACATAATGAAGAGGAATTGCAGTTAGTCCCATCAAATACGAGGCCCTTTTCTTTTGATTTACAGTACAATGATGAGCAACCCCATCTTGAAATGTGCACAGCTTATGTCACTCGGACCCAATTGATTATACCTGTGTCACTGACAATCTGGGTTGAAATCCCAAGTTCTGTGCTCGGCCTATGCTTGAACCGATTTCTGGATTTTAAGTTAATATCTCCTGACTTTCAAGATAATATTTAAATGTACCTTTAATGTGTACCTTCATCTTACTTACTGATGGAAACAAAGCAGGTAAACCAATCAACTCATCCCTGAACACATTTGGCATGCGGCAGAGAGACAATTGTCCCTTTTAGATCAGCCTAATATTACAATCATGCCATGCTATACATACCATGTAAAGAGTTCTGTAATATTCCTAAACCAAAATCACCATGAGCCTGTAGAACAGCTGCCCGAATTGCTGTATTTACATCATAGTTATTTAGAACATACTCTACTGGTTTCTTGTTGACAAACACAATCTCAAATACTATATATCTATATAAATAATATCAAATGTAAGCTTACTCTTTCATGGGAAACTTATATACTTATGAATAGTGTCGGTCTGTAGGATATAGATAGGGCAAAACCATGGATTGGTCTTTGTATATTCATTTCTCTATTAACAAATATAGTGATAATATGCATAGGGGTACCACTAGCCATAAAATTTATCTATCTAGTAAGAGTTTCCAGGGTAAGGTATGTATCTTCAAATCTACTAGTAATAGTAAATTCATACTGAATAAATATCTGTGACTGTGAAGTGAGAAGAGACATCAAATGAAAGCAGCAATTTATAGAAGGATTTACCCTAAAATTGGTAAAATAGGATAGGATATAAAACAATAATTCCTGCAGACCTAGAGACAAGAAAGTAAAATGACCCACCTATGCTTTATTCTAACCATTATTTAAGACTTTCTTCAGATATCAAGAACTAAGTAATTAAATCAACGTGTTGATGTTTACATTTTTACCGGAAGGCTGGAAGATGAAGACTATCACATGATAAATCGGACATATGCTCGATCGACCAAAGGACAATTGTATCTTTAGTTTTGGACAAATCGCCACTGAGAGACTATCGTCATTTCATCCATATTGCAGATTCTCACTCTGTTAACCCTTTCCTAATGATCCCGAAACGACCATGTCAAATCAACTATGTAATTGTAAGTGAATAATAGTTAGGTAGGGGATAATTGATGCTCCATGCAGGTTTCACAAACCCGGATATTTTTATTCATTCGTTTGCCCATATTATTACTACGAGTAAGAAAGAAAAACAAGTTATACATTTCACTCTATTTAATAGTTGAGATTCTAATAAATGAAATAATATGCCTTTTAATCAATTGAGTGGAAAATACCAGCCACTGAAAATATTTATGAGTAGCATAGGCTTACTTATAACCTTTGTTAGTCCTACGAATGTTTTCAGTAGATGTACTGGCATTTAACCTGTTGGAGGATTTCAAAAGGCATATAAAACCATTTCAAGAAAAGAACATTGAACACAAAATATAACATAAGCCAAAAGCCACGTAATAACAATTCTTTATCACAAATCATCACGTCTCAAAAAACCATATTTTCAAAACTCAACATCAACAATATCATCGATCTAAAAAATAGTTTTTCTCGATCGTGATATTGAAGTGTTGAATTTGAGAATAGTGCCTTTTGCTCAGAATAACAAGACTATACCTTTACAACTACTTACATAATATAATTATATCACCACCCCAACAGAATCCCCGCGACTTTTCATTACACGCTATTAATTCATTTAATGAAATTTTCAAACAAAGCAGTAATTGAAACTCGATGATGCTTTATATCGGTCTGCTGGTATATTGAAGGGCGATTGGCAACACAAAAACATAAACAAACACCTACTAACGTATCCATATAACCTAAAATAAATAAACAGATTTGACCTAATTTCAAATGCACGTGCAAAATCAATATGCGTCTATTGTAATACAATAATTTTATCCTATGACGGAGTTTAGTATAATATGTATTCAGATTCGTTGGTTCAATAATGGTAAGATAAATTATTAATCTCGGGTTTTTATAAGAAAACAGTTTTATTACAGTAATGTACATTATTTCAAAAAAGCTCTTATAAGCATGAATAAAACAAAAATTAGTCAGATGTTTCTATCTACAGATACATGTACTTGAAATTTTACGCATAAACGGAGGTTTTCTTACAGAGAAGGGATTGCTTAGCAACAATATTATACTATAATTTCCCAGGATTGCTCAGTACAATTTTACTTGGCATGTTATAATTTTTGTACTATTATACATTCAGTATATCACGAAGTATATTACAATATCACAATATTTATAATATAGTATATTTTACATCTATAGCACATGTGATGCGTGATTATAATAGATTCTTATAACAAAATTTACAATGATACATTAACAATAGAATATAATATGGAATAAGCATATCTGAGCAGTTTATTTATATCATTATTGACATGCATCTCAGATGAAGATCGTTTACTGAGACAATACAATCGACCGAATGTGGCTGCTTACAATAAAATGAAAATAAAGTTTATATTAAAAATTATAGTGTAAATTTTTAGTGAAAAGCTGTTTGTAAAGGCTTTTTTCAGATTTCAGAGCCGTACTGTAACGGATAGAAGCTATAAAGCATTCATATCAGTACATAATAAAGTATCACATAATTTTTCCACATTCTTTTAAAGACATTTGCAAAGGTATATTATGTGGTCACTCAAAGATTTAAGTTTAAAACATCAAAGCAAAGCAAGACAATGGTCAATTCTACACGTAACATAACAATTGATATGACTAGAAATATAGTTCAATAACCACGATATGATCATACAGATCACTTTGAATCCTGATACAGGCTGGGATGGTATTTGATGATATTGGATGGAATGATCTGAATCTGGAATATTGATATCTGAATAAACATATCTTTTTATGTTTTTTCAATATTTGAATGTTCAATATCTGAATTTTTGAATATCTGAACAATGGTATCTGATTTCTTAATTGAATTTTATGAAAAATCTATATCTAAATAATATGTGACTTAATACAGATATCAGAAAATCTATATCTAAAAATTGATATCTATATCTAATCATATATGTATTGACTTTATTTTAGTAGTTACTGTATTTTGTTATGATGCATTCTCGACTGTTTGTAACAAGATACAATTTCGTTACAAATTACAAATTGTTATCATTAAATCAAGTCGAGTTATTAACTAACTAAACTTGAATGTTGGTAAATGACTAGATATTAAGAGACAAATTAACTAGATTTACAAAATAACAAGTACTCAAAGTTTAAGGATTTATCAGTTCAAAGAATTTCATTATAAATTTGGTAAGTGCTATACATGTAGCATGGTGTACGGTGATCTTGTGGCTAAGCATTGACCAGATAGCAAAAATTGACATTTCTTTTATGAATTATGATTTTACTTTACATCGTTCTTGAAAATGATCTGAATATACTGAATAAATTGGAATGATCATGATCTGAATTAAATTATTGAATGAATAAGGGATGCAGTCTTCAAATTATTCTCTATAACTTTAGCAGTGAAAGAAGCCAAATTCAAGTCAAATCATTTTTCTATATTTGCAAGACCTCTATAATATGTCAATAAACGACCAAATAAAATTTCCATTCTAAAAAGATGCTATGAATAGCTACAACATAGTTCTTTCAACAGCATAAGTATATGATGAAAAGAAAGAAAATAATTAGAAGCCTGCATCCCTTTAAGGTGTATATTATAATGGTTTCTGAGTTGTACCCTATACTACGAATTACCCTGTTTTTTGATATTTCTAGTAAAAAAATTGCCCGGAGTTTTAGATTTTGACATTTGTTCTAATTTTACTTCTACTTCTTCTTTGTCTGATTCTTCTTGAATTCTTTTATGAAGTTGAACATCCAATAATTCTTCCATATCGGCCTGCAAATAAAAGCATAATTGTTTGTTTAAACTCTGCATATGAAAGACTGATTACCTGTGTACGGTTACAATCAAAGTGACTTTTGGGTCATATATTTATAAAGTGGTTAAGGGTTTTCAAATATTAAAAAGATTGTATTGAGAATTTTCAACAAAATCATCAAACTCGGATTGTTGTATATATAATTGTATTTTTGAGTCTCACATTAGGATGCGTCTTATACTAGCATGCGTTTTTTCTTCGGAAATATACATTAAAATGTAACGACAAAAGAATGATATTGCAACCAAGAATAAAACAATGGTAAGTTGAGGCAAACCAAATTTAAAACACTAAAAAATAAATCCATGATTCCATAGATGACCTACAGGATGAAACCCACATGCAAGTTTACAGATACGCTTTTGTGATACTATTCCTAGATCCTACAGAACATTTCAATAACGCGGATTGAATGGAATCCCTGTCCATTTGTACGGATTATTTAAGTCTGTTATATGCAATTCTTTATTTTACTCGAATATGTAGTATAAGCATTCTGACCATTGAGTCACAAGTCACAATCTACAAGCGATAGAGCACCAAAGTTTTAAATGATTTCTTTAGACGTTTTTAATCTAATTGTTAAAAACCAGAAATCCTGATATGTGTTTTTGTCAATTTCTGATGAACCCTTTCAAAAATTCCACAAACACCAAAATTCTCAAATAAGATGAAAGATCCCCGAAGACTAAAAAAGCATACACAATGAAAGAATGGTTCACCTTCGATCTGGAATCATGGATAAACGCTACCTATCCACCTAAAATCACCAAAATAACCATGAAAGGAACGTATTGCAACTAAAATTCTACATGGCTGTATACTTTCTAACACCTTAGCATTAAATAATTTGAAAATGAATTATGTAACTAAATCAAAATTTCTGCTTCTAGGAAATCCAAAATGTGATCATATAATGGAAAATATAGATAACGCAAATATTCTATAGCCTGTATTGCGAGTCTTCATCTTTTGCTTCTCTCTGTAGTGGAAAGGGTAAGAACGTAAAGACGTGATTCTTATTAAAGTATAGGTCATCTGTTCACCACTTACCTGCCATTGGTCGAGTTCTTGTGATAAAAGAACTTTCTGTCTAATAGCTCCTAATAATTGGTTGTTTAAATTCATCATTTCTAATTTACATTGAGCTAATTCAGTTTCTAGTTCAATATTCCTAAAAATATAAATTATAATTGCATTTTTATTATATTTTCTTGGATCTATCAATTACAACGTATTTGAAGAAAATGTAAGCATTGCTGTGGATTATAATCTAAACAAAGGTCTTCTGTAATCTGGCAGAAATATGCCCCCACCCTCCTCAAAACTCAACCACTACACGTCCCTTCTGGGTGCTATATCAATGCTTATGCTAATAAGTGTCATGGTAAGTGGACAGTACAAGAGATCCAGTCATGAATGAACATTACCTTTGAGAAGTTTCGTCTCTTTCTCGCCTAGTCTGTTGTACAACATCATCTGTTGTCAAGTTTTCTACGAGATTATTCTGTAGTTTATCTCGTTCAGCTCGAATTAACGATAGCTGATTATGTTGAGCCTGTAACTAAAATACCAAAAGTCCATTCTGAATAAATTATACATCGTTGCTGAATTCAGAAATATCTTTTCTAAATTCTAGGTTTGATTTATAAGGCAATGTTAAAAAAATAACAATTTAAACTCTACGTGATTGAAAGCATGCAAAAAAACATTTTCTTTTGTCATTCGATTTCTGTTGTGAAATAAGGATGTGAACCAATCAAGTTTGGCTACCAGACAATACTAGTTATGATAACCTATTGTTCAGTTCAGTTCAATTGAGAACAAATGCAACTTCTTTACTACTTTAAACAAGAGACAAATACTGTTAACAGAGATAAAGACTGAACTACTGTTAACAGAGATAAAGACTGATCTACTGTCAACAGAGATAAAAACTTATCAACTGTTAACATAGATAAAGACTGATCTACTGTTAACAGAGATCTACCGTTAACAGAGATAAGACCGATTTACTTCTTTTAACAGAGACAATGACTGACCTACTGTTAACAGAGACAAAGACTGATCTACTGTTAAAAGAGACAAAGACAGATCTACTGTTTACAGAGACAATGACTTGTCTATTGTTAATCAGAATAAATAAGACGTATGTAGGAACCTTCAGTGGTGACAGAACAACAGAAATCGTTTGGCAAAACTAAACTACATGTATAAAAATATAGCAATTTTAAGTCGAGTCTAAAAGAGGGAAATACTTCACAGAACTTTGAAAAAAAGCCTGGAGAATTATAGTTCATATTTGCATGCAATTGTGTAGCAAAAACTACAAACAGAATGATATCCTTGAACAAATGTATATAACTAAAGCCAAGTGATCGTATCAAATAATGAAAATGACGTGCCATCACTTTAATAAAGTTTTTGAAAGCGACAGACAAGCTGCAAGACTTCCATAAGCAATTCATTATCAAACCAATTCTTCGAGATTTTGAGCGTAAAACTTCAATCCACCTTTTACTGATTATAAGTTTTTGTCATTTAACAGATAATCTTATTTGGAAATTTCAAACTATTTATAACTTTCGTCAACCGAGTAATCTGATTGGCTCCATCAAAAATCTGAATAACCAATCAGGGCTTCAAAGGCAGACGAAATCTGTACTGGACTATGCTAATTTCAGTATGGAGAAAAAGCGTGGGCGAATAATCGAAAAAAAGAGTAAAAATTATGGAAAAATAAATGATGATTTCTCTATTTTTTGAAAAGGTTTCTGAGTTTTGGAGACATCTCACCTTATTTATTAAATACTGGCAAAAAGCAGAAAAAAAACAAAACATCAATTTTGACTTGCTATATATTCAATGTCATGCGACATTTAACTACAGTCAATAAAGTTTACAATGGTATACAAATGACTCTTTAACTCTTTATAAAAAGGGTCTAGTCCTTCGGATGGGACAATAAACCGAGGCCCCGTGTGCTATACACGCTGTGCACGTTAGAAATCAAAAAGAGCAGGCTAATGCCACTTCCTTGGCAAAATTTCCCTCATTGCACGCTGCATGGCGTTGCTCGTTTTCACAAGCCCAATTAGGTGCTGAAAAGAAGGGCCTAAAACTTCATTCCTTTCATTTTAATGGGAAATGGCTTTTGGTCGCTTTTGACCGGAAGACGTTTTTGTTGCTATTGATATGACTTAATGGGACTGGAAAGTCGCTATTATCTTGATTAAGATACAGGAAGAAATTATTGGCTACTCCAGCAGAGCAGAAACAGTCTGTATAATTGCTAAGAGCAAACTATATAGGGCAGCATAAACCTGAGACTTGATCTATCATCATGAAGTTATGGTAAATCTTTAAAAAAAAAGTCTGTGAACTGTAAACTTCATACATACTTTATGCGCCATATTGGAGAATTCTCTGTTCTTCTGTTCCAGTTGTTCATCTCGTAACTGAAGGTCGAGTTGGTTTTGTTCCAGATGACGATGTGTCATATCTAGTTCACGTTGTAATTCACCAATATGTTCTTCCATACCAGCCACAGCTCTGGAATCAAGTCCCATCATATCGTTCTGAAACAAAAGATTATCATAAATGCCAAATTCCGAGAGTTTTATCTTTTGCAAATGGTGATGAGCACTGAGCAGTCTATATTACTGAAAACAGAGAACCACTGTCAGTTATCAGAGCTCTGAAAACAAATTTTATTGGACGTTGGGGCAGATAGAGCGAAAGCCATTCAAAATAACTTCTATCGGCTTCCACGATTCTTAGGCTTCTTGGAACATTCAACATTCTGAAACCCTGAAGTCTTGAAGAGCATCAAATTATCCGATAGGCCTACTTACTCTTCTATGAGGGAACATCTGCATGTCGTCCATCAAGTCTTTCAATTCCCCCAACAATCCAACTAGTTGAGCAGCCTTATCTCCCCTTGATGAACTCTCGTCATCAGAAGATTTTGATGACGAACCAGAAACATCTTCACCTCGAATTTCAGCAATCATCCTTTTCAACTGTCTATATACATCTATCACAACCTTTCTCATCTGGAAGAAAATGTATCATGTTCGTTAACAAAAATAATTTACTGACGATTAATATGTCTTGGATATGGTTTATAGAATAGCTTTATATAACTAAATAGTCATTGAATAGTAGAATTATTATTTTTAAAGCATGTAGATAGTAGATGGTCCGTTTGGATGGATATTATAAGCGGGATATTGATATAAAGGCCCCTTTTCTGTGATACAGCTCAATGAAAAAACTTTGGATAGACAAGTCAAGACCGACTCAAATCATATAAAATAAACCCACAAATAATAATTGGAATCCTTACGATATCATCTTCCATATCAGGACCTGGAGCATTTGGACGCGGAAATTCAGGTAAGAAGTCTAGATCTGGTGACATGGTAGAATGAGCTAGTAGTCCTGGTAATTCTATATCATCATCACATTCAAAATCATCCATATCATCTAACATCTCAGCTGACATTGATCTGTGCCAACTATCATTGAGAGATAACTGAAATACGAAAAAAAGAGATCATGTTCGTTGTTCATTTGGAGGTTCATAAGACACTCAAATCAGGTTGAAGATCAAAAGACTTCAATTGGGGAACTGCAGTATAAAGCTTAGAATTATAGGCAGAATCTGTTACAGATCAATTGTGGACATAGTGGCATGGTCAATGATATCTCAAACTCTCGTCTATTAAATCAAAACGTTAAATTATCGGCTACAAGTAACCAATGCAACCCCTTTTACTCTTGTGTTTCGTTTTCTAGGTTTGAATCTTCAGTACTTTGGGGTTGTTTTTTGTACGCGGCAAGTCAGCAAATAAATGCCCAAATGTCGTTGGAACAACGGAGACAAACCTCTGAATTGAGATCCACAATAATGCAATTTACACAGTAAAGCTTCAAGATGTTACCTGATCTGAACCATTTGATGTGGACGGTGTTCTGACTTTTTCTCTACTTGATAACTGAGATAATTCACTGAACAGAGTTTGAGATGTGTCACTTTTATTAGTTTCATTCGCCTTGTCTCTTGTCACGTGATCTATTGTGGCCTGAAGATGGAGATTTGTTTCTTGGAGTTCTGTCAACTCCCGAGTCTGTTTGTTTATCTGAAAAGATGAAATCAGATCTCAAGTTATACATAGAACGAATTTCCTTGCACAAAAACTTGTGTTGATGGTTTTAGTATTAGTATTAATCGGGCATCATTTCATTTGGTCTCTCAGGATACTTTGCCATAAAGTATAATGCTTTCAGGAGAGGCAAATTAGATTCCAATTGTCCCATAAAAAGAGCTTTTCCTTTGACACGGGAAAAAATTCCAATTTAATGTCATGCGTTATCCTCGGGTCCCAAATTCTTCAGCATTACGTAGCTCCCCACCCCTAAATCCCTACCACGCCTCATTCTCAATGAACATCATTGATCATCTCATATAATGTTGAAGGATCACTGTGCTCCTCTTCCCAAGAAATATCTGATAGAAACAAGTCAAAGCTATGCCTTACCAAAACATCTTTTTCTATAGATTGTCTTTCTAACATTAAAATACGTTCTTGTGTTTCTTCTAAGGAACAGGTATTGGAGAGTTTATCTTGAGTTAAACCATGAACTCGTCTTTCCAGATCTTGTTTTCTATCAGTGAGGATATCGATCTCTTGCCTCATCAGTTCAAGTTGGCTGTTATGTTCTGAACTATTAGTATGTCTTATAGCTATTTTATCTTTTAATTTCTGGATTTCTTCTGACAGTTCTTCTTCTCTCATGCTTCCCTGTAAAACAGAAGAGAAACGTTACCAATGAACAGGACTGCGTTTCTTAAATGGTTCAGTGATAGTGGTATGGATTTGTTATTCCACAAAGAGAACAGAAAGGGACCAACATCTTTCAGATTGTTTTGTTACATCAAAAGCATCAAGAAGCAGAGAAATAGGACATTGAAGTTGTAGCTATGACCGTTTCTCGTTTTCAGCGTTGCCTATATGATATCAAACGTCATATGGTTTTATGGAATTTGTTTTTGAAAAAGAATATGGTTTGTTGGTAGTTTTAAATATGTAGTCACAACAGGAAGAACTCAAATAAAAAGTAATAAATGCGGTATTTTGTTTTTAGGGTGGGGAGCTTTCTCGCCTGATCACTCTATGGTACCATAGAGACGGCACATGATGCTTAAGTGTTTAAGAACCACAGCCGTTGAACGGGAAATGGAATTATATAAAAGATATGAGTGTTCATGATATCCATTCAATGGTTAAAAAAAAACTCCGCATCCCTTGGAGATATCATTGATATTCTAGAAAAAAAATCGATTGTCCCTGTATCGTATAGTGTTTTATCTGTAATCAGGATATTGAATGTTCTGTGGGAATATCATCAATTGATCTCGTGTGGAGAAACCCCTTTTGAATAGATGGAGAACAAAGTGCGTGTGAATGCTTTGATAGAGAGTAAAAACTGTATGTATGGGTTACATCAATATCTAGCTCATTACAGTGGGCAGTCAACCGACTTTATCAGCTCTTTCACTACTGTTTGAAGTTATACTAGTGTAAAATTAGACCCGTTCATTACATTGACAAAAGCATATTGTTATGTCATAGAATCCTAATTCATTTAGACTTATTGAAAGACGGAAACTTCGATACAAAAGGCATATCCGTGGGAGCAATGGCGTTTCTATGGGGGTCCCACAATTGGTCAGTAAAGTCTCAAATATCTCATCGTTGAGTTCTGAAATGCCTGTGCAGAGAGTCTTCCCCTACCTCCCTATCATCTTGCCCCTCTTTTTACAATGCAGTGCTCTAAACTCGCTCCACCCTAGTTAAAGCCAGTTCACGACCTGGATACCTGCCACGTCTCTTAACCAGTAGATACGAGATTATAATCCAATCAAAATGGTGAGTGTGTGCGGTTTGTACATGTGTCAAGTCTTATACTGGTAATAATTAATTAGAAATATAACATCAAAGACGTGGAAGTGTAATGAAGTGAATCTAAAGATAGTTATATTAGTTTAGCATAATCAATAAGTATGTACTAGTTGACATGTCAGTCCACTATCATCATCATATACATTAACATCTGTCATGCCTTTCCTACTTATTACTATTAAGCATATTTCATTTAATTTTTAAGTCAACACCAATCCTAATCTAATTTTTTTTTAAAACAATTGCTACTAGGATGTCCTAGTATAATTTATGATGTCACTTATTGCGAGATAACGTAATTTGAAGGCAATTTCGAGGAAAAGTATCTCCAGTCTTCCAAATCCGTAATCATATCGTAGAGACAATGACAATACATGTAGGTCTCATTGTTATTCTAATTTGGCATTTAAATTATAACTTATACCACAAAAATATTGTACATTTCTTTAATATAGGAAGGCGGTCCTGGTTTTTTTCTATACTTCCTATCTTCCATACGAGTCTGAAAACAAACCTTTCCAGATGTAAAATATGCATTTTGAACTTCATGAAAGCAGACAAAATGTGAAGAAAAACATTATCTAATCAAAACATAATAAATATATCATAAATATAAAATGAATTTCACAGTCGATAGATCTAAACAACTGATAATAATATATACAATTTTACACCATGAAACAATATGTAAATTAGTGTCACCAGGTACAATATGAATATTTTTAGACATATATAACATTTGAATATTTATCAGTCTGTATCTCTGAAATTGCAATATAATGGTAGGAGGCTGCCTGACATGTCTAGACATATGGCATCTAAACACGTGAAGATTATCTTGATATTGCTAATAGATCATTACGTACAAATGAAATATCAAATACTACCATAAAAGTGGAAATGAATATGCAAGAACATCAAAGGAAAAGCAAATATGTTAACGAAATATATATACAAGTATATATGAAATATGTCACTGCAACAAGTATATATGAAATATGTCACTTCAGTAAAAATAAGAATATATATATGTCCAAGCACAATCATAAATTATGGCACAAACAGCAAACATATGAAATCAATACAAATACAACACTAGCACTAACTTAATATGTAATATGCAATAATAGCAAACACTTAGCATGCATGTGAAATATGTCAAAGTAGCCAAGATTAGCAAGTAAAATTATGAAATTTGCCACGTTAGTAAACATATGAAATATGCCATCCTAGAGAATACTGTGTGCTGATTGCAGGTTAGTATTAGGTCAGTCAGGTATGTAAATATTGATATGTTTTTAATTACTAATAAAAAGGAGGTCAATTGATTTACGTGTTTTGTATTATTGTTCTTTTCTAAATAAAGAAATCATGTTATTGGTTTTTCGATCAATCATCGTCTATTGTTACATTGGGTCCTTGATTAGGTGGTATTCATGAACACGTTCATATTTTGTACAGCTATCAAACATGTTACCTGAGTAACCTCACATGCAGCAAGTTAAAGTGACACGCCCACTTTTCCGTATGATCTTATTTTGAGCCTCGAAACGTTGTTTACAATAGCTAAATACAGGATTTTATCATATTTTCACAATTTATTAGGCTTAACAGCACTTTGAAGGAATATTTTTTGCTTTGGACCTCGGCCCGTGCCTATATGATTTATATTCTCATGTCACCTTAACACCAAATTTAATGTTCTCTCACGAATGGTTTTGATATTCTCAATTGTCGAAACGTTATAGATTATATTAGTTTATAGTACGCAATGAAAGATATTTTATTAATTGAACAATGTCTCTATTCAGCACTAATAATTAACAATATTGCTAGTGTTTTTAGTTCATGTATTTTATAGTAATGAAATATCGATTGTCGTGTAGTTGATTCTGTCATAATTCCGGTCTCTGCTGATTTCATTTTTATCCACAGGAAATCAACATACTATCGATTTTACATCTAATACAACTGCAATTACCTAGGGTCTCATTAATCGAGAATGTGGACCTACAGTATCAACTAATCGAGACTTTGTACCTACAGACTAATTAATCGAGTGTCGCATAAAAGGCAGAGGATGTGCAGGTTTCGTAATCATCGACTTCAACTCATTCAAAGAGTTCAGATTAATTAATTTTATCAATCGGTTAATATACAATGGCTTACTATTCGAGGCTATAAACAGTATACCAACAATAAAACAGTGCCAATAATCGAGACTACGTCTACTTGCACACCTGAGTAGAATAAGGTAAAATGATCGATAAGAACTGGTCATTTATTAGCTTTAGGATTTAAAATAGGTATACAAACTAGATGAATATATTTAAATTGGCACGATTCCATACAGAATAAATTTTCTACACGTCGATATTCAAGTTCGAGTTTTTCCATTTACCGACTTCTTTACCATCTCGGTAAATCTTTGAAAAAACAAAAATCTACTTTAAAATGCCATTTCTATATATCAGAATTTGACCACATTATACCTGAAGAAGCTAATATAGCGAAATCCGGATCGTATATTTCGAGGAGCCCCCCATTTTTTGTTAATTTTTGTAAGATATTTGTTGTAAGTTGTTATATATTTTTTTTCCACTTTTTTGTCTTCTCAAATAAAAATTTACCGTTTTAGGTACTTTTTACCCTTTAAGTATTTTTTGTGCTTTTTAAGTACTTTCATCATATTTATTTATTTTTTGAGCTACCATGGACCATCGCTTTAGATCTCATTGGCAATATCCCAGGCAAAATTACTTTCCCCAGCATTCGTATCTCTATAATCAACCCAACTTTCGTCATAATCAACCCAACTATCGTCATAATCAACCCAACTATCGGCACAATCAACCAAACTATCGGCATAATCAACCAAACTATCGATAAAACCAGCATCAGAGAGGAAACACTAATCCCAACCGCCAGAACAACTACCGTCGTCCATACAACCCTGATAACCACCAAAGACAGGAGACCAATCCAGCAGTGAAGATATTATTTCAAATCTTACAATGTCTTCACCATGCTTCCGTCATTTCAAAGCAAGTCAGTGGTTCTCCCACACGTGGTTTTATCTCTAAAATTTCGGATCTCAATCGGTTTGTTAAACCAGCTTTAAAAAATTCTGCTATTTCCTCGGCTATCGAGACAGTAAATAATGTTTGGGCTAAAAACGTGGCGATAGCACTTAAGAATCATTATGATTCACAGCTGGCTGAAAAAATTTCCTTGATCAAAGCACGCAATATTTCGGAATCAAATTTTAAACAATTCACTTTCGAAGCAATAAATTGGGCTAAGAAGTCATATCGCCGACTCCAAAAAGATACCCTTGATCAATTTGATAAAATCATAGACTCTTTTAAAGACGTAGGTGTGGTGGAAGACATGGAAGCTGAATCTCAACCAGTTTCTACACCAAACAGACACCAGTTACCATTAATCGCAGATGTAAGACCTACGCCGAAACGCAAAAGAACTCCATCACCTTCTGGCCTTAGTACCTCGCAAGAAACCTCACACTGATAGACGTACTTTACCATTACCAACTTTTACTGCAACTCCATCCACACCAATGACGACGCCAAGATCGAACCCTGAAACACCGAAACCTCAACGTACCAATACTCGCCGCCGATTAAGTTTAACCACCTCACCCTCATCTCCTGCCTGTAAATCACGACGTCTTAATAATGAGAAGGATAAATCCAAATGGTCTATTCCCACACTCACCAAACCAACAGTTATCATTGGATCTTCCAACATCAGCAACATCCCGTTCCTACATCCAGATACCCAAGCCGAATCTTACCCTGGTGCCCGAATTCAGCATATCAATACATTACTCTCCAAGATCTCTCCAACAACCATTCCGAAAAAGGTGTTATTTCATGTTGGCCTAAATAGGAATCAGGAGAATCCATACACAGAAGAATGCTGGAACTCCTCAAACTTCCAAGTCGAAATTTCCGTCTGCTACCCTTTACGCCACACAGATTCCTTATTCAAAGGAGCTACAATTAGTTGAACCTCATTTAGTCAATAACCTCCAGAAGTTCAACAGTCTATTATATCATAAACCGTCTACCAATGCCCATACTATTCCTCGCTTCAATGGAGTGGTCAGTGTCATTTCGGATAACATCCACTGGATGTCCCCCAATGCAAAAAGTATTTATTTTTCATGGGTCTCCCATTTAAACTGAACGCGGGGGGAAATGCTCTAAAATTAGGAGAAACTGTGGTTAACCTCAGTTCGCGAAAACTTTCTCCCCTTGAAGAAAGAGTTTTAGATAGAGGTCTAACATTTATTCCGACATCTAAAACTGTTTCCCATGAACCAATTTTATCGTCGGTTGAACACGTCAATAGGACTTTTAAGTTAAATTGCTTTTTTCGGAATAGACTCGGCAGAGGCCGGCGAATACCGTTCATTGAAAAGTCTGGTTGGACTCCACCAGACAGCGCGATTGACTCAGATATTTTGGCTACTTGCGATAAATTACATGAAGAAATATCTCATTTACCTTTGGTGAATGAAAAACACAACCTCACCAAGTTTGAAAGGAAAGCTTTGAATAGCCTAAAAAAACGATCAGAACATTATAATACGAAAGAGTGACAAAGGCAGTTGCTGTGTCATTCAGAATCGCGAAGACTACATTTTTGAATTAGAGAAACAATTGAACAATGCTAATCATTACCGTGTACTTGATCAACCTATTTTCATGGAAACTGCGCAAAAGATAAACAATATTTTAAAAACTTTAGTACACAAACAATTTATTTCTGTTTCCCAATATGACTATCTTTCAGCGAAACCCGAAGTCCGTCAACGTCACATTTATACTTTACAGAAGATTCACGAAAACCCGGAAACTGAATGGTCTTTAGCCAATAGGATTCCTAAAGGCAGGCCTATTATCTCAGATTGCGCGAGCGAATCCTACCGAGTTTCTGAATACATTGACCATTTTTTACTTCCATTAGCGTGTAAGCATCCGTCATATCTTAAGGATACCACCGATTTTGTTGAAAAAATTAAAAGCTTGAATGTTCCTCCAAACGCAAGATTTATCTCATTAGATGTTACGAGTATGTATACCAATATTGATAATAAAACCGGTTTAGACGCTGTCCGAAAGGCCTTTCTTCGAAATCCCTGCGTAGATAGACCCGACAAAGAAATATTAGAACTTTTGGAATTATGTCTAACGCGAAATGACTTTGCCTTTAATGAAAAAATTTATCTCCAAACTTCAGGCACCGCGATGGGCAAAAGATTTGCGCCGAGTTATGCATATATCTTTATGGCTGAGTGGGAACTGGAAATTTCTTCCATTTCCCCTTTTGAACCTTTCTTCTATGGAAGGTTTCTTGACGATATTTTTATTATTTGGACGGAGTCTTTAACAAATTTTTGGCAATATTTTGAAATTTTAAATAATCACCACCCTTCTGTAAAACTAACTGCGAATATTTCTGAACAAAGTATGGATTTTTTGGATGCTACGGTATTCAAAGGATCAAGTTTCTCTCAAACAAACAAATTAGACATCAAAGTATTTTTTAAACCAACGGATACTCACCAACTTTTATATAAAAACTCTTTTCACCCAAAACATACTTTTACGGGAATAATCAAATCACAAATTTTGCGTTTTTTTAGAATTTGCACTCAAAAAGTAGACTTTGATGCAGCTTGTAGACTAATTTTCAGTAAATTAAGAGAGAGGAGCTATTCCAAACGATTCTTGCTCAAAATTAAAAATGACACTGTTTTGGACCTTTTGAAAATTAATAAACCCCCTCCTCCAATAAATAACTTTGCATTATCATCAGCTTATAATCATCGTGTTTGATAAATGTATCTCTAAATCGTTGCAAAACCCCTGATCCCACTCTGTGAATCGTGGGTTTGTCAACAGACATGACAAGTTTCAAAGAGTTGTCAAAGCCAATTATGCTAATTAGGAATTTCATTTTTGTAAAAATGCACACCTGATAGGCTTTGTCAACAGATATGACTTCAAAGAGTTAATTATGCTTATTTTGAATTTACATTTTATAAAGATCTGCTGCATTATATCAGCCAATTGCAGACTTTCTAACGGTCATTATGCATTGACTGATTCCGTTCGATCTGCAATTTAAGTCTATTTAGAACACTTAGTGTATTGAGTTATTAAAGGAATTTCTATAGTGTTTAATTGCACATGATTTCCTATTAAGAATTGTTAATGAGAGATAAAGCTAATGGACGTTATTACCTTCTCTTTATCTCCCTATTATTCATAATATTATATTGATTCCTTCCACACTTGGTCAACCCTTTGTCTTGTTTCAAAACTTATTTCCTTGAACATGGAAGTTGTTGTAGAATTTTGCTTGACACAATGGCAGTTTTCCGAGGTCAGAGTAAATAGGGTCTTAGGTACTAGAGGCCCAGTATTACGAACCTTAACTGTATTAGTCACCTTTCTTGTACCATGGAAGTTTGTAAATGAAGCGATTTGATTGGATTGTTCGCTAGCGAATACAGCAAATCAGAGGCCTCTACAGAAAATCTGTGAACACAAAGCCTACTTAGTTCACAAAGTTTACAGCCTTTCTGTCGAGGGTTCTGATTGGCTGTATTCAATCCGCTGCAGTCCATGATAGTTTGATATTTTGAAGATGACGATGAAGGGCTGGAAGAGCCCGATAGAAGGGTTGTCTGATTGTTCTTTGAGAAGTGAGCTTACCTGTCTAATCTGTTCCGCAAGGCGTTCATTCTGCTGTACCAGATCTCGGATGGTATGTGAGCGCTCTTTGTCACCTAACAATGAGTTATGTTGATTATCCTCCAGTTGTTGGTGAAGGTGGTTTATATCATACTGTAGTTCTTTCACTGTATTCTCATACTCCATCTCCATCTTCTCTAATCTCATGTGTAATCCATACTTCTCTTGTTCTAAATCCTGAAATAACAATCACGCCAGGCATTAATCAACAAAACTATCATGTCCATGCTGTACAATGACAGCTTACTGTGGTCAGAATGTGCGATATAAAACTTGACATCCAGACATGGTTGAGGAAATTGGCACATTCAAGATAGAGAGCAATGTATTAACTCTAATCTTTTCACGAGAATTATGTTTATCCACCTTCCTAATACTGAGGAGGATGACACTCATGCTGCTAGAAAGGTCGAGGTTTCATAATGATGAAGCTGGTGGTGATGATGATGATGATGATGATGATAATGATGATGTTGATGCTAATAACGATGATGATAATAATGATAATAATGATGATGATAATAATAATAATAATGATGTTGATGGTGATGATAATAATGATGTTGATGGTGATGATAATAATGATGTTGATGGTGATGATAATAATGATGTTGATGGTGATGATAATAAAGATGATGATAATGATGATTCTGATGATGAACTGATGTTTGAGTTGCAAATTGTTCACATACACTATGTATTATTAAAATGATTTCATTTTTTACATCTGGAATTGCATTTATAATTATGTTAAATATTGTGATTGAAATTTTCTTGCTACAATTACAGTAGTTCAAATATAAAAAAAATCATTAAAAAATAGACCATGACCAGAGACCATACATAGATTTGTTTCTGAACACAAGTTACATTATAACTTTGTGAAAAGATCGTTACTCTATTTTAATTTGAACAGTAGAAGAACACATGTTATTAGGTAGTCAGACACGTAGCTATTGTCTCTTTATAAAGATTAAAATTTTAATCAGATATGACTATTGATGAATTACTTATTTTGAAATGACCCAGGTCAGTCATTTTTTTTTAATCTTATTGAATTATAACAGCTGACACTCTAAAGATAAATCTCCTGTATCTTATCTTTTACATTAAACGCAATAAGACTTATACTAGTAGAAATCAGGATGTTCTTTTCTGTAGATTACTATACACTTGTAATCCATGATCTGATGAGATTCTTTTGTAAATAATTGGCAAGTGGAGACACCCACAAAAAAACAAAACACGGAACAACCAGATCTGCATTTCAATGAGATTATACTGAAAGTCCCTACCCGTATTCCTGGCTATATACCGACAATACGCTTATATGCACAACAGCTCAGAATTTGTGTGGTTTTCTTTTCTACCCCTAAATTACGATTGTCTTAAACAATTTCCTTTACAACCTGATATATAATCAATCTCCATCACAACTTAACTCTTTGAATCCCAGAACGCCCACACCTATAGTGTAGTGCTTGTATTTTATATTTCATTCTTATGCAATTATGATCAATAATCATCGATCAAACTAAAACATTCAAATAATCAATATGATATGTAACATCTGGGCGTTGATTGTGTACTTAAATTCATTATCTCATAACATGAATCAACGAGTATTTAATAGTGATCCTTGTCGTGAACCTATTCAATTACAACATTTCACGACTTGTGTTCAGCTGTGGAGCCAGGTTTACGTCCGAGAGGGGGGGGGGGGCGAAATACCTGAGGTTGCCCGAATTTCTAACCAAGTTATGATATATTTGACCGAAAAACATGCCTTTGAGGCTGCGAGGGAGGGTCCCATCTAACCTGATATCAAGAAAGTCAAGATATCGAGGTCAATTTAGCTAGTAATTCACAGTGTAGGTGTGAAGAGGACAGAAAATAGCCTCAGGTATAACACTTTAAAACGTGTATAGCATGACATACACTTATCTCATTGTCGAGATCAAATTTCCGGTCTGGTTGTAAACTATCTACTAACTAGTCGAAGGTTATCAATTTGCTGTTGAGACATGTCAATATCTGATTACTCTAAGCTAAGATGGACACATTAAGCGATAGCGACAATCTCAAGACATAACATATTGAATTTCGTTAACAAATGAGTTTATGTCAAACTTCGAGTAGTTGTAGGACAGGATACAAAAAGAGTGTATTGCATGTTAACAATGTCAAGGTATCACGTTTAATGCCTTGACATCATTGGGTCTTGCATCACTCAAGATTGTAAATGATTTGATTGGACTGTACACTAGGGGATACAATCAATCAAACCTCTGCATTAACACTTGAAGAAGGGATCCCTTGATGTTGGTTCTCAGTATTGGAATGCAATAGTCACTGGCGATTGATCCCTTTCAAATAAAAAGTTTTTATACATATATATCATGTTGAGGTTATGTTCTTGGATTAATGATGTGAAAAATTTCCCAGACATGAAATATGATCATGATTATCATTTTGTTTTTCTACAAACCTTTCAGTGAAAGATTGCTGAGAAAAAACCTCAAGTCAAAACATAGCTTTGACCCCACGCATCGAACTCCAACTGGTTTTATCATGTTATTTATACTATTGAACTAAAGATTAGTTAAAACAATATGTCGACTTGATGTTACATTTCTGATAGTGACTGTATTTTACATATTTAATCAGATAGAAAATGCATGGTGTTTTTTGTTTTAAATCAACACTTTTAGATGACCTTTACGTTTGTTAGTAGAACATTTTATGGAATTAGATATAAAAAACATAATCTGAAACATGTCTTTGGAATTATGTATCTCATACTGTGTCTTTCGTCTGATTACTCAGAGTTTGGCCAAATCAAACATCGTATTATAATACTATTTTTCAAGTGTATTTATGATATATTTGCATGTGGATATTCGTTCATAATACATAGCTTGAACACAATAAATGTACCATAAAATATTTCATGAAACATTTAGTACGTCCGACAGGAATGACATTCATGCAATATTTGAAATTCAGAATTCAATGCAATTTGTGTTATGTAGATGAATCGCTCCTGTACTAAGGAATGAAGATGATGAAGATGGTGATGAAGATGATGATGAAGTGGAGGAGGACGACAAGATGAAGAAGATAGATGATGATGATGACAAGGAGAACGTAAAAGGGATGATGATGACCATGAAAAAGACAATAAGGAAGATAATGAGGACTATGAGAAGGAGGGCGATAAGAAAGCGGGTGATGATTTAGAGAAGAAGAGGACTATAAGAGGGATGGTGATGATAAGGATGATAAGGAGGGTGTTAATGTGATGAGGCAGTGGCGACAAGGACGAGAGCAATGATGATGATGATGATGATGATTAAAACGTTTAGAAAGAAATATAAAAATAAATTCTTACCTCAAGTCTATGGGAAAATTCATCAGCAGCCTGCTCACATTTCTTCTCTAAATCCTGATTTTTCTCCAACAGAGCTTTACCTAATTCTGCTGCCAGAAGTAGATCTCTATCCTTTTGCTCTAATTGGGTATAGAGATCGGGTTCTTCTTGTTCCTCAGAATACGCATCAGCATCTCCTCCTATCCCATCCTCGTCCTCATCCATGTTATACATCTCGACTTGATGCTGGAGATGTTCGTCCATCAAAATGCTCATTTTGTAATCCACAATAAAAATATTTTGTTTCCTAAACTATATTTAAAATTGCACAAATTCTTCACTTTTTCGAATACTAGTTACGTTTGATTATTACACTTCACATTATAATGAATATTCAATAGTTTTTTTTAAGTGAACTCGTATCTTATGAAACATTTAGGTACACATTTTATCCATAATATATCGGATAAGATATATACCATTGGAAGAAATTGTTCCACTGATTCACACAGTCCGAATCACATTCACAAGTTGAGGCAATAATCCACTTTTGATCTCGTTAGAATTGAGAGTACCTTAATACGATTAAATTCGGGTTTGAAGTTTAGTGTTGGTGTTCCTAAGCAATAATAATCCAATTAGGAAATTTCATCAAGTAAAAACATATGGCTGATTTGGTAATGAAATTCTGATTGTTTACTTTTACGTCAGTGTGGCTAACCAGTCTTAATCCCGATAATCCGAATATTATTTATATACCTATTACTATGACAACGTATTATACATAAATCTAGTCTAATCTCATCAGGCCACAGGACACTTCAAAGCTGACCAAATATCTATTTTTAGGTTTGCAGACTCTTGATCGATTTTTGTACTGTCCTGAACACGTGGAAAGAATGACTGAACTATTTTTTCTCTCGCTAAATCCTCCACGATACAGAGGGGTTATATCCAATTTCTTTTTGATTTTAACAATATGTAGCTAATCTTGTTTTTTGTCAACGAAACGTGTCAAAAGATATTAAAAGTAAGTCGTGGTATGAGAGGTTTCCAGCTAAGACAGTGTTTAAAAATAATTTAACAAGTTAAAATAACGGTAATATTTATGTTTTTACACTATGTACACTCAGACTGTTTATATATAACTTTCTTCACATTATTTATATAACGGGTAGTTTATATTGAAATAATAATGTTTACTAAACGTCAAGTTGTCATTTTTACATTTTAACGTTATTATTTAAGAGTATTTCGTATAATTGCAAGTACAATCCGCATCAATCTAATCTGCGCTGTTTAAATAATTGATCAAGGTGAAACTGTATTTCTTTGATCTTTCTCTGAAATAGAAATTGAAATAGTTGAACGAAAATCAATATGATTTGTTTCTCAATGGGGTTTTATTTCTATAAATATTCGCTCTACCAGCTGATGTAATTCTTACCTGTATAATTTTTCACAACGAAATTTTAATGACATCAGGGCATGTATGTTCTTATATAAAATTATATTGCTACTGTAGAAGCTTCTGGCTTTTCCTCACTTATCGTATTGGCAACATACTATAGGTCTACATCTGTCGTTTCTTGCGTCGTTTTTGACAAACCAAAGATCGAATATTGATTTTGGTAAGTGTTACGGGTACAAAAATATTTATTTCGACATTTAATATATCACTTTTAATCGAATAAGCCCTGTATGGCATGCGCTTTTTTTTCCTGCTCTATCATTCAAACGATCGGATAATTCTTATTTATTACAGATCTATAACTTCACAAAATATAAAACAGCAATACATCTCAAGGGAAAAGACTGAAAAAGACCCCCAGCCACCTAAATGTATGACGTAAAATAAATATTATTAATCATGATACAACATCATAAAGATATAAAAAATTTATAGGAGTAATTATATGTAATAATTATAATATAATGAAATAGTTATTATAACATCAGTTTATATAACATAATATAAATATTTATTTTACAAGGTCAATAATACAAAATAACACAGTAGGCGATAAGGCTGACAAATTACGCTTTATTTTGACAATACATTTCCTGTTCACAAAATTGTCATTAGATAAGTGCTCAGACACTGCAGTCGTCCCCAATTCGCGACTCCATGCATGTGATAGTATACACATTCAATATCTATAAAATAAAAATATTAAAACTGATTTACACGTCACTTAGATTACCACAATTTGGTTACAACTGATTTTTGTCAGTTAGGTTACCAGAATATGAATACAACTGATCTAGATATCAGTTATGTCACCACGATCTAATCAAAACTGATTTAGGTGGCATTTAGGTTACCAGAATCTGATTGTAAC